GAATATCTTTTAGTAGTTGATGAAGATTATTTTGCAAAAAATGCAAGTAAGATATACTTGACAGTCTAGGTAGCAACAAGAAAGGGCCTTGTCGCTGATATTGTCGATTAGAAGACCACACCAGACATTTAAAGAAAAGATATGTTGGAAATGTCCAACAGCAGTCGTATGAGGGTTTTCTTCAGCCCAAGTAAGGGTATTTCGAAAATTAAGAATCCTGTTTCTTGTAAAGCAAGATTCATCAGTAACCAAAACCAAAACATTTAACAATTTTATAACTTTCCTATCGGTTAATCCAGATAAGTTGTGAAATACTGTCAAACATTATTTTCTATAAAAATAAGAATGCTTTTTGTTAAACATAAAAAATAGAAATTTTTTAAAATTTGATTTTAAATATTATCATTAAAAAACAACTTGTTATAAACAAATGGAAAATAAAGAAGTTAGAAAAAGAAATAAAAGTAAGAAAGAAAATTTCTCTATGCAAGATAAGAAGGAGGTTGGAACTAATAAATAAAAATCACTGGGCAGATTCAATAATCCTAGCTCAAGCAGCCTCAGAACGACTAAATTTCAGAAAAATAAAGTATCTTAAAAACGAAATAATAGAAATAGAAACTAATAGAATCGAAAATAACTTAAGAGAAATGTACAAAGATGAAAACCATTCACATAAATGTTTGGGATCCTGATGGAATCAGGAATAAAAATAATGCTGTGCTGATTGATTCCCTAGACATCCCCACATATCTTATTACTGTAAGGCTCGAAATCGGTTTTGTACCAAATATAAGCTCCTGTCATGCTCAAATACCATGAATGGGGTATCGTTGGATTCATAATTTCACGGGGGAATTGCGAATCGTATTCTCCACTTTTGTTTTTCTTTCTAAAATAAATAAAGTCGATACAAACATTTTGCTAGGCTTCAATACTGGAACGGTGGTAGGTCTGTAGATCGATACAGAACAAATTGGAACTTGAAGATTTTGATGCGTACAGCAAGATCTGGATAGTTCCTCTGGAACTATCGGATCCTGCGTTTTTAAGCCCAAAAAACGTACTATTTTCAAGATAACGAAAGACATAGGGTTCGCATCCATACAGCCTTACATTAATTGTGGTACTGTCATTGAATACATGTCTCATTTCGTCGACTTGAGGTCTCTATGATCGAGAGAGGAGGAGTTTATATTATTTATAGATGGTGTTTTTTATGGCGTGCCATATCATTGTTAATTTTTCACCAAATATCGAGATTGAGCCACAAATTTCGAAGGTTTCCTTCTCCTTCAGCCCGGCAAAATAGTCCAATCACCACGAAAATTCAGGCAAACAAGTTATGAAAGAAAACAAACTTTATTTGCGAATAACTAAAAAATTACACACTTTTCCCTTGGTTATGCCCATAATTATATAAAAGATTACTAAATCTCCTACAAAAGGAAAAAAAAATCATCGAAATCGGATTATTTTTAACAAAGATTTTAACAAAGATTATTTTTAACAAACAGCTTACTGCAATTTGTGAACATATTGCAAGCAAAAATTGGTTCCAAACAAAAATGAAGATTTAAATTAATTTTTGTTTTCTTGGTCGATTATATGTATTGATAAAGTAACATTTGATTTTTTATCTTTTGATACCTTGCATTATTTTATTTTCTTATTAATTTGGCATTTGATAACAATATGGTGTGCGAATTTTTCGCACAGGCCTACTAGTATTAAGTAAATTAAAAAAAAACACTTTGGTAATATTTTGAATAGGGAAATCATGTTCTGTCTCTTTCTTCTGTGTACCAAGCTGCTAAAAAGAGGTGCCAAACTCCTCCAGATGTGATGACATGCATATCCTCTCATGAACATCGATTGCTCTACTCTTCTTAAAAATGATATAACTAAAAGTAAAATTATAAAACTTGTAGTTTAGTTTTTCCTATATTCTTTGGTTTGAAAGTTTTCCCTAACTTGAACATGATTCAGTCCACCAATTCATTACACAGTTAATAAATACCCCTCTCAAAAATTCATAACACCAATTTGCGCCAAGTAATATTCTTCTGGGTACTCCTGACACTAAACCATTAATAGAAGAACCAAGTAAAGAATAAGTTGAAATACCTATAGGAAAATAAAGTCTTATAAACTAATAATATTCTCCAGAAACTAATTAAGGCATAAGGGGAAGCTGGAGAAAAATGCACCTACATCCAACTATACTAATCTGGCAGAATGAGGAAACACCTGAAGAATGGAAAGAATCTATTATTATTCTGAAGTCTATTACATAAAGAATCTATCATGTAGTAGTCAACTCACACTTTTAATTCTTTTTAAGGGTGGAGTTGCCAACTTTTTAACACTGTGCAGAAGACTTAGGAGATGATCATAATACATGTATAATACAAAAGGACTATTTTTTAACTTTCCAATTTATTCCTTGTGCCTATGGATTTTTGCTTTAAATAGTCCAGTTTTTAAACAAAAAATAGCATGAGTGTTAAAATAAACTTTGCCTAATAGTATTAAAGATTTTTGAAAATTATATCATACATAATGGAAAATACACCATTTACTATTCAAGTTTGGTGCAGAATATCTTGATTTAATCTTTTCTGCTTATTAATGTTCTAAGTCACTTACTTGCCAGCTGCTGGTCTGTTCTGACAAAGTCCATAACCATACTTGAGATTCACAACCATTTCTTTTATCCTTATTCTTATTTTTAGCCTTTGAAATATAAAATTATTTACTTGTTATATATGATTAAAATTAAGCACTTAACTACCTACATTTTTATTATAAAAACAAACATGAGGAAATTACCGTTCATTAATTAATATTATTCAAGTTCATTATTCATCTATCACTGAATCTGCTATAAACAAATGAGCTTATGATGGTGCTGCAATCCTTACATAAAGTATGTTATTGGATATATAGGACTTTCATATATTAATTCAGATAAAAAAAATTAAAAAAAGAAATTTGAAATTAAAAAATAAAATATGTAAAAGAGTAAATAATTTTTAATTTAAATGCATTTATGTTAAACTCATATAGAAAAACAAAAATAAATAAATTTTTATCGGAACAAATCAGTAAACTTATCTGTTAAGTGACATCTTGTTTAGAGTTTTAAACATTAATTTGACTTAAAATTTCTGTATGATTTATGATCACAAAAACATTCTTTGGAAAGCAGAGGAGGTTTAGCATCTTCAAAAATCATATTAATAATAATAGTTTTTCTGCTTAGGTAGGAGACCGTGGTTACCATCCATTTGTAAACATACCCAGAAAACAGTATAAAGGAAAATGCTACCCAGAAAAGAGAAACAAAACTAAGGTTGGCCAGGACTACAATAATAACCGAAACTGGTCAAGGATCAGTACCAATCCTTTTAGAAACTTCCTTAGAGTATACAGGAAGAAGTTTAAAAAAGAAACAAATCCTGCTTTAATAGCTCGGTAATCATTTGCTAAAATTATAATAGAGGAAAAAGGTGATATAACAGTTTTTTAAAAAAAACTAATGTAAAAAAATATATATTAGATTTGGTTGTATCATACGAAATATTGATTTAAAAAAAAATATGAGTGAATGAAAAAACGTTTTATTAATTTGTAAATTAGCTATAAATTAGTGTTTAGAGCAGAACTTCAATTGTGAATTGTAACCATTGACTAATTTTCCTTGACAATGATAATCTGTTTTGAGGTTAACCAAGCAAAATCTCCAAGGCTAAAAAATTTGTCTTTAGTATCCATCATATCATTCAACAATATTGACATTTATAATTTTTTTTTACTGAAAATCTAACAGTTTAAAAAACTCATGTGATAGATACTAAAAGCTTGTTCTTTGGAAGAATTACATAAAACCAAACATTATTTAATAAGATTATATTATATTCGTTCATGCTGAGTGGGTTTTGTTAAAAAAAAAAATATTGATATTTCATTTAATACAACCAGATATAAAAATATTAATAATAAATAAACTTGCGAATTTTTTAATATTTCAGTAAAGGAAACTCTGAGTGGAAGAAAATGCCATATCGAACTAAGCCGAAATATTTCCATCAAGCTAAACAAGCCAGAAAGAAAGGTTACATAGAATAAATTAAATTGCTCAACCATAGTCTAAAAATAACTTTGTGCAGATCTGTAGTAAAAAGAAAAAAATTAATATTTTTATAATGATGGACAATCTGTTAACTCGATAATGATGGACAATCTGTTGACTCGATATTTTAAAGAATGATTAGAGAACTAAAAATGTAGTTGTATCTTGGAACCCTCAACCATTATAAAATAACTTTCAGCTAATTTAGAGGGAAAAGAATAAGGCATATTGAGTGAACCATTTAAGATTGTAAATGAACAAGCATTCTGTCATCTGTCATAAAACACTTCATTTTATAAACAAGTTAAATCGTTCAAAATTAATTCAAATCAAAGTTATATTCAAATGATTTTCACTTCACTGGTATGCTGAAAATATAAGAAGCATTACAACAAATAAAATGGTTAATTGAAAAAATAAATTCATAACGCAAACTTTTGAAGAAAATAAAATCACACAGTTATAAACATATCACTTTATTGAACAATTTGTTAAAAAGTTTTAAAAATAAAACAAATATTATGCTACTCACTAAATATTTAAATTTAGTTTTATCACATTTTTCATCCGAATAGATTATTACCTGAAATATTATTTCTTTTAGAGATTTTAAAAAATTCATTATAGAGATAAATTCTTGCATCAAAGGTCTAGACTACAATAATTACAAGCATTTACAACAAATTATTATGTACACACCATGTGGCTTAGTCTTTGTACTAGGGTTACCTATCATTTTTATTTAGACCATACTACACTTTGTTTTCAACAACAAAGAGTTGTTGAAGATTATTGTTATTCCAGGAAGAGTCCCATTTAACACTAAATATTGAACTTTGATTTATATACATCACAACGAGGTAAGTTACTGCTCAAAGCTCTGCCTTACTGGAAGAGGTTCATCATAAATGCCTTGAAGTCTTTTGTTCTCTGGGTCAAAGGGGCTCTTGAGGTGAATCTCTGCTTTATGACGAACTCCGAGCACTTCCACTTCATAATTGCCAGATTCTATGAATTCAGTGGTTACATTATCTCCATTTGGACATCTCACATATCTAAAGGAAAGAATTAAAATATTTCAAACGGTATTGCGATAGATTAGAGCCTTAGGCTAAATTAATTTGAAATTTATAATAGTGAATAACACCATTCATTTCATTTACAAATTATCACTAATGATTTCAATCTTTAATAACTTTCAGTGAAGAATTTTAAAATAATAATTTTGTTATTCCAACAATATTTTTGTATTACTTTCATTTACGTTTTGTTTACTGATGGGTTTATATTATTAAACTGTATGTTTTGTTGTACTTTAGAAAATTTTGACTAAAAATATATTATTTATAGAAACTTAATAATTTCATAAGAAGAAAAAAACAACAATGACCTTACAAGTAACTTTTTTACAGTAATTAATTTTTTAATTAAAAAATGCACAATAATTTGATAAAATTGATAATAAACTTATATATAGAGAATATAAAATAAGAGGTTTTCATTCAAATGAAAAAAAAAAATCAGTTATAAGGTAATAATGTGAGGCTATTGATGTTTATTTCATTGCCAACTACAAATAAATAAAAAGTATTTTTTTTTTAACTAAAAAGAAAATTATTCGCATTGAAATAAATAAAAACATGCATTGTTCACAAATAAATGAAATAAGACTCCAATACGGCTAATCCCAACAGGGATGCCCTTATTATATGAGTTCTATATGGAGAACATAACAGTGATAAACCACACCTGAAATAATACTCTATTCTTCTATTATTGAATATCAACAGTTTTAACTAAATGATCAGCCTAAATTAAAATTAAAATAAATGAATTTCTATAATTTCCATTATATTATGCCATGTTTGAATGTAATTTTAATATTAAGTGATATATTATATCAAAACTTCATTAATAATTAATATATTCATTATTGATTAAAAAAAAAATCCTTCTCTGCATTATGCTAATTGTTACACAATACTATCTAGCCTCTGCAACATTTGTGTAGCAAAGAATTAGGAGAATTTTTTATGAAAAATTACATGAACATATCATTGGCTAAACTATCAAGTCATGTCATTTGTCATTAGAAAAATTGGTGGAGTTTGGTATTTTTATAACAAAGTCTAGAACTCTTACCCTTGAGCTACGCTGCAACCAAGAGAAAAACCATATTCTCCCCTCCTTAGGTAACCAACTATTTCTCCATTTCTCCAGATAGTTTCCATGCCATAGAGAGGTATAGAGCTAAAATAAATTTCATAATACATAAATTCATCAGTAAAAATATAGCTTTAGATGTTTGGGTGAGCTAGCATGTTAGGAATAAGTGTTGAGCGTTACAGAATTGGTTGGCAGTAGTTCGGACAATTTCCAGCAATGCAGTTAAGATGGTGAGTCTACTTGAGGTAATTCAAAACTAATCAGCCATTCAGCTTGAGTATTTTAATGTACCTCGAACAGAATGGTACAACTGAATAGGTTTTAAAGAGACAATTTATTTTAGTAAACATATTGTAAGGTAGGGGGTGGGGCACCCTCAAGGTAGCCATCAGTGATTGGCAAAAAGGACCACGATAGGGCCCACTTGCTGGACTAATTCCCTCCACCAATACCAGTACCAGTATTATAAGATAGAATGTTTTTAAACCTATACAAGAGTTTGGTTTTAGTAATAACTACCTTGAAAAGGTTTTCTGCTCATTTATAATTGAAATCGAAATTTCACTTCTTTCGTATACCTGTACCTTGGAACAAAAAAAGGCCGATGTCATAAGCTTTGGAATTTGGATGAACTGCATGAGAGAAATCACTGTGGTGTCTATATTAATCATTAAAAAGACTAATTCCCTTCCACTGCTAGTTGACCTCAATCGCTCATAGTAGGAGGACTGAGTACCTCATAAGATAAGGCTTAATATGAATACTTAAAGGAAATAAAAATCATAAACTTTCATCTTGCAGAGTTGTACATACATACTATAAAAATGATAAAGAAAATTTCTATACTTACTCAGTCACTGTGATGAAGACATGTCTCTTTTTAATTCCATTCTGCAAAACTTCTTCTAAAGCTTTTTTACCTAAATACTCCCCTTCTGATCTACATGTATAGTCCAGTCCTGCTTCGACAGGATTATCGTCAACTCTTACGTCCGAATTCCATAATCTGTAACCTAGTACCAATTTATACATATATTAAACACTCATGAAACACACTAATTTGTTGCATTGGTTAATTTAGAATAAATTAAAATTGGCAATGAATTAATTAATTGGAAATTTCTGAAAAGTTCTTATTCTATTTAGTTGTAAATAATATTATAATCTTGGTGAAGTGTATGAGTAAATGCATATTTTCTTATGTACCAATAGAAGTGTTGGGGAAGCTATACTAATTTAGTTGGCATACTTTTTTAATGATTTAATTTTAAGTAAGAATTGGAAAATGTTTTAAATTTTAGGAAATAAAAATAAAAGGATTACTTCTGGCCAGATATTTTTCATTATAAAAAAAATAGTGACCTAATATTTTTGTTGGACACCTTTATTCTCGTTTTTGTGATCAAATTATCTAACAATTCTAGTGGAAAGCAAACTGGTGTTCATGAGTTTTTAGTATAGTACGTCTAAAATAAGTTTTTGCGATAAATGTACAAATTTGTTTTTTAGTATTAATGTAAAAAAATACCAATTCTCCAATTCCATCACATAGTATGGTACATTAAACCTACAATAGGGTTACTTAAGAAAAATAAGATTAACATATTTACAGGTAAAAAAAAAGATGGGTTGATGAAGCAATAAAGAAATCTGGTAACGAAATATTTAACTCTGGGACAAAACACTAGGCTATACTGAAGTCTTAACAGTCTAATCACATCAGTTTTTACAAGATTAGCTAAGACAGTGAGACTTTTCACCTAATTTGCTCTTTAAGAAATTTATCTATCTATCATCATCCCAACAGATTACAATCATTGTTTAAAAACTATATTAATTAGTTTGCAACAGAATATTCTTAAAAGTTAATAATAATAAAAAATAAATATATGTATGGTTACCTTTCTCCGAGCACAAGGAGTAAAGTGCTCTGTATCCTGCATGTCTTAGACCATAATTTCTACCCACTTCCCAGAGGGCCAAGTATACCGGAATGCAGGCATGTTCAGGCACATGAATTTCCCAACCGAGTTCTCCAACAAAACTGGTCCTCATAGCTCTCACCTTATGATAAATAACCATAAAATACTATTAAGAAAATTCAAGATTTAAAATTTAATCATTTATTTTTGCTAAACTAGATAGAATTTCCATCTTAGTTCAAACCAACAAATCATTTAATAAAACACTTGAGATTATCCTCAGCTATGGAAGGTAAAGGAAAAGGATAGTAATTTGTCAAAAAATTTGTTTTATAACACATTTAATTCTGGGGTTGGGTAACTTTGTGATAAATATCAAACATCGATAAAACAAGTTGATTTATTATATAAACTAACTGCACAAAAAATGAACAAATATAACATTGATCGCCAAAACTCATCTGACATCTCGATAAATTTTTTTTACACCCTGATTAGAGAGTAGATGGTGGAAAAGCAAAACTGATCAAAGCATTACTCAAACATTACCCCATAATTCTACTCCACAACATATGTTTTGACACCTACAATATTTTCAGATTCTTGGGAAAGTGTTTCATTGCTAGAGGTCATTTCAATGCCAACTACCACAGATAGGGTTCCCGATTCTAGACCTTAAGAGGTAAAAATCTATTACATGCCCTCTCCGTTCATCATTAGACCTATTTTTATTGATTCAGACACTCCGACCGAATGGTCAAACTCTATACTTAAAACTCCTTACTTAAACAATTTTTTTTAAATAAAAAAAAGGATGTAAGACTTTATCTGTTGCCCATAAGTACATTGACAGTAGGTAATAATTTTCATTGAAAATACCTAAACTGAGAGATTATTCTTTTCTGTCGAAAGTTGTATGGACTTGTCCCATCTGAAACCATATATAATTCATTTTTGGATATTTTGTGGAATGCTGAGAATAAGAACTACCTGCTATTAAAGAATATTTAATTATACATTAACATAACAAGTTTAATAAAAATAGTTATCTATAAAATCGTAGAAATACGTAAAATCAGTTCTATGAAGTGCCATTTCCCGATAAAGTTTTAATAGCTTAGTCATATAATGAACTTAGATATGTAATTTCAGTTTGGTATGACTTTTTTTTTTTAGATAGGCTGTTCACACGCATGCACACACATACACACATGCGCTATTTTGCAAGAATTAGTCATTTAATTTCATGAGACCTCAAAACGTGTATTTAAAACTTGAATTCATAATTTTAATACTTTCCCTTATAATATATTTCATAGATAAAGAAGTGAAAGTAAAAATTATAAAATCACAAGACAAAGGCTCTAATGCAGTACATCATCAATTAAAATTACTATTGTAAGTTATTTGATAATAGTCACCTCGATGCCAGCCAACTTAATGACACGTGATGTTTTATATGGAAAGTTTTCATCTCTTAGATCGCAGTCCACTAGATTTTGTAGAAGTTCACGGCTGAAAAAATTATAAAGAATTAATCTTTGATGGATGAAACATGTTTTTTTTCTATTATTTTATCCTATTTATTCAAATGAATCACAGAAAGTCCACATTAACTTATGTTTTTAAGAAAGAGATTGTTAATTTAAACTAGGGTTACAACATTAAAGTACTATGGTACTAATATATTGTGTCACAACTATATATAATGAAAATAGAAACATATGCATTATTAATTTTGATCAAATAAAAATAGTTCAAATTTAAATAAGTATAAATATTGTCAATGTCGAAACAATTTGATGTGTTTTAGTAAAAAAACAAAATACAAAATTTATCTCATGTTTTTCTTTATAAAAATATAAAATAAACTAAGATGCATTCGCCACCTCCTTAGGATGAATACGGAAAGAATAGCCAGGATAACATATGAGACACGAGTGGAGGGAAGAAGACCAAGAGAATCACCTGGGAGGAAGGCGTGTGGGAAGCGTTCAGGAAGTGAGGGCTGTATTGGAACAGGAGGAGAGAGTTGGTACAAGAGAGGAATACTTGTTCCAAGTTTCATAGAGGGCATCCACACAGTGTGCAGTGATAGAGAGTATAAATGAATGATTTTTCTTTAAGTGGCAATAAATATATACATATTATTTTTATGCCAGCTTCAAGTAGAATTTTGTTAAATTATTAATGTAAAAGAGATTCAGAAGGGCATTGTAATAAAATAGTATGCCTACCTTAACTTCATTAAAAATTGAGATAGAGTATGTTACCAATACTGTGATGCATACCTGGCAGGACCCTGGATAGCTAACAGCCCCACTTGAGATGAGAAATCAGTTATGTCCACTTTAAATCCTTTTTTCTTTATCACTGACATAATGTGTGCTCTAGTTTGTGAAGCTGAAGCACCACCGGCAACTATATACATTCCACGTCCCTGAAATCAAAACCAAACCATACTGATCAATAATCACAATGAAAAATATGAAATAAATTTTGAATTTTTAAAGTAAATTACCTTAAAAATGGGATTTGCCATGGTTCCAGTACCAGGCCTAATTGGAACAACAGTAAGATCAGCTTCGATTCCAGCACTTTCATTGAGAAGGCACGTATAGACAACCTGGTCGAAAGGAACATCTGTGTCAGCAGTAAATATCCAATCGGCTGCTCTCTGAGTATCAGGGCCAATCATATATAATTTACAAAAGTAAGAAAAGTCCATCATCACAACTTGCTCACGACAAGCTAGGCATTCTGATCCGATCTAAAATTGGAACAATATAGGGATATTTTTTAGTGTAAACATACAAACTCACTGTGAAGTACACAAGCTCTTCATACAAAAAAATAAAAAATAAACTTCAATGTATAAACTTACAGCAAGGTGATGTTTAGAAAATCCAAAAGAATGGTCTCCTTTCAACAGGGTTAAATATCTTTTATCAAGATTCCTTGGAGTACCATAGGCACCGTACCAATCGTATGTAGGTATAGGACAGTACCCTTGAGGATTAAACCACCCTGGTCTTTCATAGCCTTGTGCCTGTTCATAAACTGCTCCAGCAACGAGTAATTCCTAAAGAAAAATACATTTTCATGGACAGATCCGAATAAAAACCGGGTTATAACTAGGAAAATACTGTGTTCTAGGAATATTTTTTTTTTTGCTGTGGTGTAGGTTTAGGTAAAATCAGTAGCAAATGAAACAATATTCTAAAATATATCAAGATATCTTTAAAAGCAGTTCATGATTTATTTCATTTATAATGAAAAGACCACTGCATAACATACAGCCATAGTCAAAGTGGAAGTAAATAAGAGAGGGTGCTCTCTGTGTATCAGTATATAATAATATAGCAAATAATAAAAATAGTAATATAATACATATAGGGATATAGTAAATAATAAATCTAGAGCATTTACTGACTTCATAAAATGGGTCCTGTTTAAGGTTCCTGCCAGCTAATGGATCGTCATGTGGATATATAATTTTATAATTATTCACATAACTTTCATGAGATCTTTCTTTTGCCCAAGCTTTATTTCCAAGTTGTTCTGGAGTAAATCGCCTGGAATAAAAAGTTTTAATGTAAATGATTAGCAAAATGAGCTATAACAGATTTGCACTGTCTTCAATTAGATGTCTACTCAATATTTTAAGCAAAATAATTTTTTTTTTTTCATTTATTACATCAGAATTTATAATACATATTAAAATATAATAAGATTATATATGTACATACATTCAAATTAGGAAACTGACCTAATATCATAGCTGTACATATGAAAATCTGGTCTTCCATGTATAATCCACTTGGCTAACTGCTCACCACAGCCACCACTCATCACAACTCCAGATGCATTGAACCCACACATATGATAGAAGCCTAACAACCTAGGGTCCTCTCCTGTTTAGAAAAAATAATAATGAAAACTGAGTTATAATTAAAAAGTATTTAATGATATACATTACTTAATAAATAAATATAATCAACAGTTTATAGGTATTTATAATGTCACCTATCAAAGGCTTCAAATCAGGGGTGAACGTTTCAGTTCCACAAACTGTAGTCTTGATTCCAGTGGTTTCAAAGGCTGGTAATATATCAATGGCATTTTGCATGTGGGCTTCAAACACTTTCCAATCTAGTTCAAACAACTCAAAGGCATGATCTTCAGATAACTGTAGGAAGTTAGAATAAAATAATATCATATAACGTTATGAAGTATAGCTCAATTCGAATGACAATTGATAAATTCCATTACTTGATCTAAAAATATTGGGTTGTACTCAAAACCACCGACACAAAGAGAACCTCCTTTCACCCTGAAATAGATTCTCCCATCGGAATCTTTCACGTTCGGTAAAGTACGAGTAATTGACTGCATAGGAGAACTGACAACATATGCGTGTAGTAAGGGTACTACAGGTACATCTAGGCCAGCCATTCGAGAAAGATTTCCTGCCCAAGCACCTAAAAAATTTAAGGCATGTTTAATTAATTATGGAATAAAATAAGAACTGACTGAATTATGGATTTACGAATTTCATAATTTAACAATCTATTTAAAAAACTAACAAGACCTAAAATGAAAAAAAAAAAAAAAAAACTGGACATAAAAAAATACATCATGTCCATGATTAAGAAAATAATGTAATATTTTACTATTTATAATTTTTTTTTTAATTATTAAATTATTCTAGTTATAATATTTTTTAAATTGGTTCTTAAATATAGTCAAACCGTAAGAAAACAATAAACATTTAAATGAGTTATTACATTACTTTATAAAATTTTAGCATTGTAAACAATACTATTTTTCTACAAATTATATAATGCATGCACCCAATGATAGAGAAGGGAGAGAAAATATTGATGTCTTTTAATTAATATCTTTGTCCTTGATGCTGACTTCAATGATTACTAAAAGATTATCTTTTATTTCTCCTCCACAACCTTAATTTAAAGAATTTTTATTTCTATTTATATGTTCCAGGGATGATTTTTCTCCTTCTTTAATATTCTTAATATGCCCCAATTCTAAAACACCCAATTATATAGCATTTTAGGTACTGCAAGGGAGGGCAAAGCATCTTTGAAATGTAAAAATATAAATAAAACCGATATAAATTACGATTTTGTTTCAGTTTAACTTATTGGCAAAGTTGTGGAGGAGAAATAAAATATAATGAATAAAGGTCAAGAATACATATTAAAGATTAATTCAAGCAAATATGAGACAATATAACAAAAATTAAGCCACAAAATATATTATCACCTGTAGCATTGACTATACATTTAGTCTTTATTGTTCCATATGGAGTTTGAACACCTTCTACTTGTTTGTATCCAAATTGGCTCTTCCCAGTAATTATTTTTGTGACGGGGCAATTTTCAACTATCTAAAATAATAAATTCGTAAATTAAATTTAGGTAACATAAATAAAAAAAAGTTAACTTACACAAAAAAATAAATCAGACTTTGCCTTCAGCTAGGCTATTGGAAATAACACTGAACGGGGATAAAAAAAAATTATGTGGTGTGATGTAAGTTATTTGATATTAAATATAACATTTACTTTTGTGAGGCAGGGAATTCTGCTGCTGCACTGTTTATTTTTATTATTAGAAATAAATATAGAACTTTCTTAATCTCAAATTTTATTTATCTACTTTCTCTAGAGTTTGATTTCTAGTGATTTTATTCCCCCTTGAAATGTGCCTTCTCTGCCCTCTCCTCTCCCCCATGTTACACCACTGGAAGAAATATTTTATGTACATAATAACAATGCTGTATATATTTTATTACTGAAAATAACCTAACTTTTTCACAAGAATTCATCAATTTGCAGAACATAGAACAATAAACGTGACAGTATATATCTACTGAAGATATATAGATATTGATATATGATTATAGACAGTCAATAATTACATATTTGTAAGATCTACAGTAGAAAAAGTAATATTCATCCAAAAAGAATAAAGAAGTTAATTTATTAAGTTAAATCATCAATTAAATAACAATAATTATAACATTATAATCTCTGTAAATATGTAAAAATATACAAGAATTACATAACGAAAAGGCAGCTTGGAGCAATATTAGATATGATTATTTTTTCAAGGGCAACTATTCTGTTCAATTATGATCAACATTTATCACTTGTAAATTACCTTTACCATTGCTCAATAGGAAAGCAAGTATGCATAGCCTAGCTGAATTTGATGAAGCGTCACTAATAAAAAGCAAAATGTGCAATAATTATCAAACTTTGAAATATTAACTGTTTAATCTTTAGAGTTGAATATATTCCTCGGATCATTCCATTTTGTTGGTGCATGCATCTAATTATTTAATGTACTCATATATGTTATAAGAAGCAAATCAAAAATTTTCTGAATTTTATTTTGTAAACTATATGGAACATTTTTTCAAGAATTTTGATTTTGCAACAAAAACCCATAGTTCTATTTCTGTTGATATAACTTATAAACAAAACAAAATCATCGATATAACTTATAAAATACAATATCATAAAAACATTTATTGTTTTATATATATATATATATATATATATATATATATATATATATATATATATTTAAGCTTGTTTGATCATTTACTTATAATTAGTACTTTTATTAAATATTTTTTAAATTTATTACCAGTGATAAGTACTTGAGAAGTAAGAGCTTGAGACGAAATAATTGCAAATATTTATAGTAAATGAACTTAAAATAAACAAGTATTTGTTTGGAAAATATAATGAATGAAGGAAAACTTCTAATTTTATTTAGAATAATATGAATAAAATATAAAACTTATGATGCTTATGTATTAAATTAAACCCAAACATATGTTAATTATTCACCTCGGCACCACTATTGATGGCAGCTGTGTTCAGAGCTTGACAAAAAGCAGTAGGATCAACCACACCATCGCTGGGGCAGTACAGAGAACCTTGAATCAGGGCAGTATCAAGGAGTGGAAACAGATCTTTTGTTTCAGCAGGAGACAAAAGATGTGTCTCAATATTGAAGTTTTTAGCCAGCGTGCTCATCCTTTTGTACTCATCCATTCGGACCTTTAAAAATTAATATCAAAATTAAAAACTAGTAGAAAACAACAATGCTAGTTTTAAAAAACAATTTAGTCTTTACTGTTTTGATTACTTTCATGTTTGATAGATATATAAGGTGTTCCCAAATTAAATGGCTAAACTTAAAAGATGAATTTCATACCTCACAAAAATTTGTTAAATGCTTTAGTGGAATAAGGTAATAGTCATTTTCATTAAATAAATCATGTCTCATATACATTCAGCTACAGAATATGCCAATATTCTGTATAAATATGGGTTCAGTGATAGAAATTCTAACATTGGTCGCTATGAATATCACGTTCACTTAACAGAACAATTGTTGAATAAATCAGTATTCTCATCAACACTTTAAAGACTGAGGGAAACCTTTTAAGGTACAACAAGGAAACATTTAATAAAGTACATCCCATTGATGGAGTTTTAGAACCTATGCAGAATGAAAGAACAGCTATCATATTGCATCATTTTGACCCAAATCCATCAATAAGTGCCCGAATATCTGGTTCTGAATTAAGAGTTTCACCCACAGTATTGTGGAAGACACTTTCAGCCGATGATGTCATCTACACCATCTTCAATCTGTCCATCATTAATAAACAGCAGGAGAACATTTTATTACCACAGCTTTATTTAAAAAAAAGTATTTATCAGACATAGCATTAGCTTTTCTTTTATTTGATCAATTGTACTGTTGTTTGCCAGAGAAAAGACTTCCCAACTACTTACTTCAATAGAGTAGATTTCTGAAATTACATATATATGGCACCATAGATTTATTGTTGGTTTACTGCAAAAGGTCACTAAGTACTTTTTTGACATAACTAACTTCAAAGTAAGTTTTTGCTAATTTCGTCCTTACTAATTGATAAAAAAATACAGTAAGTGCATTGAAACAGTACAAAGCCTTTTATACAAAAAAAAAAAAAAAAAAAAAAAAAAAAAAAAAAAAAAAAAAAATACACCAAGTGCACAATGTTTTAATTTTATGAAACATTACTTAATGATTTTCTGCAATAAATCCATGATTTGCACATTTCAAATAACATAAAATAAAGATTAACCGGATAAAGATATTATAGTTTCTAAGATAACAAACTTTGAAGAAAACTAAAAATATTTGATCTAACTATGAGGATATTTATTATTTTGTCCGGCAAAAATCAATAAAAACAATTAATGAATATAAGGCAATCAACAGAAAAATGAGTAACATTAAAAAAAATCTTTACTTCTTTGAATTATTTCAAACTGGTATTGTGAATTGGATTGGATACTATACCAATCTCTAAGAACAATTATTAAAAATTATCACAAAGGAAGTTTTAAATTTTAGGGTTTATACACCCAATAGCAGCATAAAACATGCACCCATCTTAAATCTTTCTGTACAGGTTATTGAACTGATTGTTAGGATTTAAATAAAGATTTTTTTCTAGATTATAAAACAAAAATAATCAATAAAACACTTGTGCTTATTGAGTATATATGGAGAATATATAGATAAGGTGACTAGACGGAGAGTGCAGAGTCATGTGGCTATAATGGAAAGGAATCCTTGAAGAATGGTTGCTAAAAAAATTTAACTATGGCTCAGTTCAAAGAACTCATAAAACATTTTGATCTCACCATTTTGTTGAATATATGCATTAATTTATAAAACTTGTTTTTTAAATATGATAAAGCATGGATATTTCTTACAAAAAGAAAATGTTTATAAATGAACATTAAACATCTAGTTCATAGAAGTAATTATTTATATATCATCATTAAGTGTGAAGTGGATGATGTGAACATGTAACAGTCATGGCCACTCATGATAATAACAGTTTTTTTTATATTTAATCACTTTAAAATCTATGATGTATTTTCAACAACTGAAAAAATGTGGTATTTTAAGAACATAAGAAAAATAAATTGTTGAGACAAATGAAAAATATTTATGACCAACTCTATATAAGAAATCTGACCTGTTATCTAACATTTCAAGACTAATAATGAAAAAACCAAACATTTTTGGAATTTTTTTCATTAAAGCATTTTTTACTTTTAATTAGTTTAATCACAATTTTATGTAACTTTATCCTTTTGGTATTGTAAGTAATGTATTCTATCTTTTACTTGTTGCATTTTGTTTTTTAATATTTAAATTACAAAGGATAGTTTAGACTTGTCACATCAAATTTTTGAATGTAAGTTAATGAATAGTTATGACTATTTATTGAACAAATATTTTTCATAAATTATTTACTTAAATCAATAATAATTATTATTACCATTCTAATAATAAAAGAATGGTACATAAAAAAAAAAAAAAATTAGAAAGAGATTATTTCTCTGGAATCGTGAGAAAAGATATATCTATTTAACCCGAGTGGTAATCAGCGAGGACCATTTTTTTTTTCAATTACATAGTTATATTTAATTATGATTCATAATTTAAGATGACAAAGTTTGCTAACCTTTGATCTTGCCAAATATATAGCTCCATTGTTGACCCACTTTGGGTCAACGCCTGTTTCTTCCTGAAGAACACCTAACAATTTTTTCGTTGCAGATCTTAACTGCATTTCTGTGTCTGACATCCTCATCTGAAGAATAAGCCCTGCACTGTGCCATGTTTCACCTGCAGTTACCTAATACAATATATAAATATTTATTAATTAATGACAATTTATATTTAAGTGAGCAATACATAATTGAATTTCTAATTTAAATAATATTAGATACATTGAAGAGAAGTTGGTTGGAGTGTTCAGTCAAACAAATAAGAAAGTAAAAATAAATAAATTATATTTATTTATTTTAAAAAATAGAATTTATTTATTTTTACTTTGATATTTGTTTAACTGAATACTCCAACCAACTTATCTTCAATATATCTGTGATTTTCAATTATTAATCCACTAATATTAGATATTAGAAGTTAAAATAAATAAATAAAACAAATGTATGGATCCTCTAAATGTGGCACTAATACAATAATTATTAGAATTAAAAATGAACAAATAAAAAATTGAATAACTATTTTGGGTAATTTAAGAATTATTTTTTATTTTTGCTAGCTAAGACTACATTAAATGTGATCAATCAGAGACAAATTGAATAGTTATAACACCGATAACTTTAAAAAAAACAAAAATATTTTCAATAGAGTAAATTATGGAGAATGGAAATACACATTGTAGGTGATATTATATTTTTGCCAACTGACTAAAATGTTTATTAAATAAAAATATCTGATTATTGTTATATCTGATTTACTTTACTTAATTTTCTAAAGTAATAATTATTCAAACCTATGGAAGAGTAAGTTTAAGGTGTTCATGGGATACGGCCTGAACACGACAGCTTTACACCCTTCATTCAAAAGATCAATATTTACTAAAACATTTTTTCATTCCAGAAAGTTAATAGAAATTTTATGTTAGATTTAGCTATTTCTTTCTTCAACATTTTCACTTCACAAAATTATGATCATTCATGCATTAAAATTTCAGAATGAATTTAAGTAATAAATTAGGATTAAAGTTGTCACCTTTGCTTTTTCCAAAAGAACAGCTTTAACACCTCTTTTAGATAATTGATAGAGAGTATTACAGCCAGCACTACCACCACCTAAAACATTTCAAATTTTAATTTTTATTTCTTTCAACAAAATAATTTCTAATTGAAGAGATAGATGGTTGGGGTGATCAATCAAAATAAAAATAGTAAAAATAAATAATTATAATTATTTATTTTTTATATTTGCCTCACACAATTGTTTATTTTTACTATTTTTTATTTTGAGTGATCATCAATTTCTCACCAATTATCAAAATAATTTTTAATTGTAATACACCTTTACAAAATCAAAACTAAAACTAAAACTAAAATGAAATAAAATAATATGACCTATTATAACAACATCTGCAGATTCAGGGAGTGCAGGACTTTCAGTTGATTGATGGCGCTGCTGAGTTTTGAGAAAATCTTTTTCAAAATTGAGCCAGAGATCCCTTGTTGTCAAAGGCCTCAAAGACCCCTAAAATGTAATAGTTATTTATATATATTAAACATAAATATCTTTATTGTTAAAAAAAAAATAAATGGATTTAATTTTGCAATTAAAAATTTAAATAAATTGTATTACCTTATATCGTAGAAGCTTCAGCATGATTTATGTCAATTTATTTATGGGCGATTGTTTAAATACTTGCAACTTACATGAGTAAGAAATCTAAAAATATATTTAAAAACTTAATCAAGAAAATCTTAAAATAAAAAATAAGGATAGGTATAGAATAATCAAATGGTTAATAATGAGCATGAAATGAAAAAAACAACAACAGTCGATTGGCTGAATTGACTTTTATTGCAGGAAGAAGGGAGGGTGACGACAACAACCACACCTACAGTATAACAAAAAAGATAGAATATAAATGAGTTTTATATTTTTAGCGAGAAAACTATCAGCCATCATAGAAAAAAAGGAAAAAAAAAGAAAGATAAAGTGACCTAATCTTTATCTGTTACATCTTTCTTGGATGGTTACCTTTTACTTCATGATAAGCTTCCAAACCTTTACATAGAATTGAAGGTTTTAATATGAGCAATACTATTAGAACACAAAGAAATAGAAAGAAGTGGATGGTAATTTTTGTTAGATAATATGACTACCTTTTTATGATTTTTTGTGATACTTGATGAAATATTACTAATTGTAAAGGTCAATGGTTATTCGTTTATAAATTAATTTAAAGTGAATACCTCAAAATATAAAAGGTTTATATTTAATAATCAATTGCTTTTATTTTAAAGCACTATATAATTCAGCAGTTTTCATATTTTATTGTGTTAAAATCATGTTGATTCAAGCAATGTAGTTCTTAATGATAGCCCAATGACTTTCCCTCTTTTTTTTTTTTTTCCTTTTTTTTATAGTGGAGCTGCAGATAGACTATATCATAGCCAATTCAGTTTTTATTCACTAAAAATGTATAAAGCTATAGAAAATAAAATAAAATAACCATTCATACATAACAATAGGAAATAGATGCATTAGTTAACAATATTCATGAATTGATTTTAATTTTATTACTGATTTATAACCATTCTTTTTGTTATTTTTTTCAGATGAAAATTTTCTTTTTTGAATGTGTCACCATTAGTTATAAATTGAATGAGAGTGGTCAAAATGAATTGAAACAATCATAACATTTAAACAGAAAAATTAAACAATTAAAAAGAAACCGAAACAATACTATTTTATTATTAGAGATGAAAAACTAGAATAAAATAATAAATAAATTATCAAGTAAAGTAATTTCATTATTGTCTATAAATTAAAACTTAAAATTACCATAAATATAATATTAGTTAAATTTATTTTTTATTAAAATGAGAATTTATTTATGTTAATAAAAATAATGTTACTGAAACAGTTATATTTAAATACTTTAACATTTTTATTATAACTAATTTGCAAATTTGTTCCAAGTTTTTGATAGTCTTATGGAAGTTTATTTGGTTAAATTCTGTCATTTGAGCAAAGGAAAATTCAATAAATATTTAATTATCACTTGAAAATATTTTAAATATCAAACTGCCCAAAATAATTTTTTTTCAACTAACTAAAAAACAAAACAATTAAAATGATCAAAATCATGCAAGCAATTATAATCATAAACTTACTTGTCTGCCCACAGAGCTCCCTTCACATAGATCCTACACTCAGTGGATGTGATTTAGTAATTGGCCCAATCAAAACAATTTGATAACAAAAGATTATATGACCTCCTGGCCTATCATACGAAGATCACATCTCTAAAGCTCGATATCATATACTCATATTTGCTTATTCATGTTAATCAAACTTCATTGGAGGAATATATCCAGTTAAAAAAGAAAAGAAAAAAAAAAGAAAAGAGCTGTTTCAAGGACCTGAAGAAGTTCCAGTCAAAAGGACTGTGAGCTAGCTAGAATGATATGCTTTGATCACAACATGAGGGCCAAGGACATTTACAGAGGGGGGATGACTCCATAGCACTATATGCAAACAGACTTCCACTTAAGTCAAGAATCCATTATATAATGCACCCACAGCCTACCCACTATTCAAAATTATAATTTAAATACTTTCTAATCTATTATTAGATAGCGTCCCTATCAAGCACAGGGAGATTACAACCATTGGGGGGAGGGGAAGGGGCAAGAAATGATATCTAGCCAATGACAGCTGACGGAATGATTTCAACAAAACTGAGCCTTCGCATTTAAGAGACATTTCAGTTCTATAATTGAAACTCTTCTTTCATTAAACAATAAAACAAACATAAATGTTTACAAATATTTTAATTTATACTAATATGAAATATTTTTTAAATATAAATATAGATAAGAATATTAAGATATTAATTGGAAATGAAATATACAACTGACAATACAATACAAAAATGAAATACTTGTTATATGGGTTATACTTATATGTTATATACTTGTTAAAATAAAATACATTAAAGAAGTATTTCTAAAATACAACTATTTGACAAACATTAAATTATATTTAAAAAATAAATTAACTTATAACAAAACTTAAAAAAATAAATATAATCTATGAATTTGATAATGAATAAAAAAAAATATATTATTGGACAATAGAAATAAAAATTAACATTATTAATAAGGAAGTCAATTGTATCTTTATAGTATAAGGCCAATAAAATTAGGGGCTAGGAAGAGTTTTGGTAACAGTAAAAATTGGAGATTAAGAGACCGTTTTACTGCTTTATTTATTGTAAAAAAAAAGATTATGCTATTTTTCAAAGTTCCTTAACACAAGGTTATGTTAAAGCTTGTAAAAAACAACGAAATATTTGTACTTTTCAGTTAAATACTGATTCACAACTCAAAAACTATGTTTCCTTGAAAAAAATATTTTATTTCATGAATTAAAGAACATAAAATTCTGCATTAAATACGTTCCTAATATTTCATATTCAGTGAAGGAATATAATAGAAATCAATGGTCATAAAACAGTAATTTTCAGCAACTTTGCCAAGATATACATCATATATCTATCTATCTATCTATCTATCTATCTATCTATCTATCTATCTATCTATCTATATATATATGTATATATATATATATATATATATATATATATATATATATATATGTATATATATGTATATATATATATATAATATATATATTATATATATATATATATATATATAAAGTGTCTAAGCAATGAAAAGTACTGTTCTTAATTCAAATTTTACGAATAAAAATTGTAGAGCATCAAATTTTGTATTCATGGAGTATCTCGAATCCAAATATTATAGAACTCCTTATACACTCATTCACATAAAATCAATCAGATTCTCTTCCTCAATACTTCACCTATACAAATTTTACGCTACTAAATAGATGAGCTAAAAACTTCAAAATTGGCAAAATTGTAGTTTTTATGCTCCATCAAGGAGAACATTTAAAAAAGTAAAATTGTTAATGTTTGACAACAGAAAAAAAAAATAATAAAATGAAAATGGCGGACTCAACCTAAAAATTGCAAAAAAAATTACCTTTAATGGTCTATTGTGACTAAACATTTGTGCGGTATCTCCATCAGATGCAGAGGTTATTTTTACGTCAATTTATACGTTTTTCTTAATTTTTAAAATTATTTTGAATACTAAATGTACCAACACTGAAAGTTTTAAAACTTAATGATCTATGAAGAAAAAAAGATGTACAACTTTGGTCAAATGACGTTTTATCCTATCACTCCATTGGCTTTACCGTGGATCTAGATTCTAAATCTAGAGTCAATTTTCGGACTTTTTCTAGTTTTTTATTTATAATTTCAAAATGCATCTTTATAAAAAAAAACCTTTATTATTTCAAGAATCAGAGGACATTTGAATATTGGACCCAATAAGGCAAATTAGGTTCAGAATTACGCTCAAAATCGATGGTCCCACTTGTACCAACTTTATCATCTATCATGAAAACGGCCGTTTTAAGTGTAACGGCATATAGAATAAAAGTTGTTTGGTATTACGTTCTACATAAAAAGTATACCATTCGATATAATTTTAGTTTACGGCACCGATCGAAATAGCTGGTCGAAACACTACAATTTTTTCTACCTTAGATAAGATATTTAATGTCATTACTACAAATCTCGTTTTCTATTAACAAACCTAGACACCATAAAAGCAGACCGTGTAAAATTAGCAAAAAAAAATTTTTTACACCAAATAAAGCAATTAAAATGATCCAAGGGAGTCCATCTCTCCAAGGTCGATGGCGCAAGAACTCCCTCCACCTCTCAAGAAATTTCATTTCTTTTCCCTCATAAAAAACAGTGTAAGCAAAAATAGAATTAGAAAAAGCATATATCATGTATAAATTAACTTGTTTATCTTCTTGTTTGAAACTTTTCACTTCGAAAATTCATAACCCCGACGAAAGTTGCCCCCCCTCCAAAAAAAATTCCAAATCCCGCCAAAATGTGCTCCCCCTCAAAAATTTTGACAGCGTAACTTGCGCCATAAATCCCCTTCTGAGCACCCCTGGAAAGATCTGCTTTCCAACATTCACTACCACCAAAAATCTTTATTTTACTGGTATATAGAAAGATAATTTGACAGTTTAATAAACAGCCAATAAAGATATTTTTTAATTAACTTAAAAAATAGCTGAGTCAGAAGAAAAATCGAATTAATTGTTTTTATAGCAAAGAGAAATAGAAATTATAAAATGAATCGAAAAGTTATTGCACCAGTACATATAAGGTTAAACATTTTTTTATATAGGGTGTATTTTTCAAGTACAACTTTCATATTTTAATTGTTTCTTCTTTTTCAATCTATTAATTATTATAATTTTATAAGGCTTTATTGATTTTATTTTTTATAGTGAAGTAATTTAACGTTTTGAAACAATATAATTTCGTTAAAGAGAATTCAATAAATAGGGATGTAGTAAAGAAATATGTCTGTATTCTTAAAAAGAAGGGGAGAAGAGTTAAACTACCATAACTACATCAGATAAATTAAAAAAAAAAAAAATTCTAATTTATTTAAATATTGATCTATACTCCAGAATGTTACTAAAAATCTTAATATCAAAAAATATACAAGTAATAAAAGAAGAAAAAAAAAAAAGATGACTAATAGTGATTTCAAACTGATTGTAGAACAAGACAAACTGCTTGTAGAAAGTGATAATAGATAATCTTTGTAGAAATATGTAATGGTTTAGGATATTACTAAACTAGAGGTATAAATAATTATTTGAATTACTGCAATCATCTTTATCATGAAAATCAACCAGGAATAAAATTTTTTTTTAAATTTTGAGTTTGTTCAAATTTATTTTGTTTTATTGATTTATTTATTTCTCATTTATAAATTAAATTAAATGTTATTATTAATATGTTTAAAAGTTACCTATTGTAAAATTCATTAATTTAATAATTTGCATTGTACTTTAATGATTAAAAATTATCTTTCATTGTAAACTTATTTCTTAAAAACAAATATTAACATCTACAACTATGAGTGGTTCTTATATGATTGGGTTACGCAGTACCTAATTGATTTTCCATGACCCTCTTTAAAACTTCACTCAAAATTTTACTACCTTTACCAATGAACCTTACAAAAATCAGTTGATTATGAACACAATTTTTATTTCTATATACTTCCAAATGTATAGATTATTAAGTTTTGACGTCAGTAACAAAGCAGTTAACATAGAAGCCTTGGATTGACAATATAAAATCAGCCTTGGTTCTATTTCTTACCATATCATTGATATTGACAAGCATTAATAATTTAATCAAAGCATTTAACTTGAAATAATAATTCTTATTTTTCAAATAAATTGTTGGTGTATTGCAAAAAGCCATTGAGTGACGTTTCATAACCTTAAAAATCTATAAGAACTTTGATGGATTTTTCCCTTTATGACAATAGAAAAATGAGCACTTTTAGTAACAATATAAATATAACGGGGTTTTAGTCATTTTTGTGCACTGACTGTTTTATTATAGATAAATAAGGTCAAAATTCACAAAAGTACAGCCCCATCAAAATTGTGACTATGACAAAAATGTGAAATATTCCTTTTTGTAATAAACCAACAAAATGTTTATTTCAGATACTACAGTAAACCATTGTTACAATACACTCAAAGAAACCAGAAGATTAGTTTGTTATGAAGTTTGTAATATTCAAATAAAAACAAAAATAAGCAGATTAATAATACAGATATTTTTTTAAAATATAAAAATCCTAACTGGTCAAAGCGTATCAATTAAATTATCTTTGACTGTGGAAAATAATTAAAATTAAGCTAGACTTAAATTGAATAATTAAAAAAGTAAATTTAGATTCTGCCCATTAAAAGAAAAATTATTAATGATTGAGCATTAATAAAAATAATTATTGCCTCAATGGAATAACTCAGCAGAATATTTACTTTCTCTAAAGGAGCGTTCACACCAAAAATTCAACTACCCCAAACAATGATGATCATTTACAAATGTTAACGATTAAGGGTTTGTCATATTGTCTTGATAGATCAATGATTTGCAAATAATAGGTTTGCTATAATTTATTATAATAAGTCATATGGTTTATCAGGTACAGACATTTTACATGAAAGACACATTTTCTGCCCTGATTAACTTCAAAAATTTGGGATACAACAGAATGTCTGCTTTAATTGAAAAAGTCAATATTAAGAAATTAGCCATTAAATCAAACGTAATACTTAATGAAGATATGAAAAGAAAAAACTTATTAAAAAAGGCTATTTATATTATATTTAATATTAGGGGGAGGATACTAAATTCTATTTAATGAATTAACTTAGGGACCACCTAAGAACATTCAAGTGAACTAGTTAATTACCTAATGTCCCAAAATCATAAATATATGTAAGGGCAGTAAAGTTAATGAAACAACAATATTGTAAAAATATAAATATATTATGAAATAAATTAATTACAATAGTAACTTATAAACTTTTTATCTTATTTTAACATGGATATTTGAACATAAAAATTATAGAAATCTTACAACGTTAAACTACAAAAATACAGATATGCTATTATACATATATATATATTACATTCTGAAGTCTTCTGTATTGGAGTAGGACTAATATTGTATTCAATAAAAATAAGAACAAAAATAAATAAATATTATATCTATAAAATAAATAATCTAATATTTATAAATAACTCTTTGCTACTGTTGTAAAAAAAAAACTTAACATAATCTTTGCTATAATATTATTTTATAAAATAAATAAATATAAATCAAATACTGCCCCAGTTTAATTAAACAATTGATTAATTATGCAATTAAGGGGGTTTATATGAATAAAAATGAGGAGAACAAATTATTTTATATAAAACTTAATAATTTAAATAAATAAAAAAGCACAAATTTTCACTTACAAAGTATCTAAAAATTACAGTTGCTCTAGGATTAGAGGAATAATATGGATAAATTAACCAACCTTCACTATGATTCAATATGAAACTAATAATAAACTTGTTCATTAATATTCTGATAGAACATAAACACAGGGTTGTTTGTAAACACTTTAAATGCCAAAGGTGGGAATTTGAAGGTTATCATCTCAACTGATTCTAATCAGGTAGGCAAGGTTATTAGCTTCTTTTTAACTTGACAAAGCCATAAGTTTAAAACAGTTTATTTTAAATATATATATATAAGATATTCAAATACCTAAATTACTTCAAATATTCTCATGGATGACTGATAATATTTTTCTAGGGATTCCTGAGACCAGTAAAACAACTTTGCCATTCAAATATTATTTAAAATTTTTTTTTTATGCTACTAATTTTCTTAATCCATTTATTTATTTTTGTCTTCAAACAAAGACAAATAAAATAAGGTAATAAAATTATTACCTAAAATAATTTTAAAAATAAACAAAACAAAACAGAAGTCTTATTAAAATTAAACAGTCATATAAAGGCAATAAATAAAAAAAAATAACTATGACAGTAAAAGAAAAAATGAAGACACCGATAAACTAAGAAAAAAAAAAACAATCAAATAAAATTTAAATGTAGATTAATTAACAAATTAAAGCTAATGGCATTGAATCCTATAAAAATAAAACTTAAAAAAATGATAGTGATAATAAATAAATATTCGCCTAATTAGTTAATGACGAGCATGAATTGAAATCTGGCTATAATAAAATAAGAATCATATTAAAAAAAGATGAAAAGTAAACATGATATGAGCCAGTAATTAGCAAAGTGAACCATAATGTTTTATCATAAATTGAGATAAAGACCTAAGGCCTTTATGGATAATCTAACCAACTAGAATATCTGGCTCAGGCTTATGAATATAATCAAAAAGTCACTGAATTTATTTTTTTTAACTTGTTTAAATATTTCGAATATACTAAACTTTCCATTGATTTTTTTTTGTTTGTTTTCTTGTTGACTAAATATGGATGATATGTAGATGTCCTCGAAATGTATATCATAAATAATATAAATAAGCGATATAATAATATAAATATGTAGATATCCTCCAAATAGGTAAAAAAATAAAAAATGCTATATTTTATTTTAAATTGTGTGACACGTAAGATAAACAATTGCAGAAGGCTACAAAAGGCTTAAAAAAATATCTAAATAAAAACCTAAACCCAGTCCCTCTCGATAAGTATTGATTACTATTTAACGGAAAATCCAAATATAAATTAATTTACAAAACCAGCCTTTAAGAGTAAATGTTCTAGAATATTTTATAAACAGGAAACGGTAATTACAAAACTTTTCTTTTTTCAAATTGTGAGATATATTATCAGGGAATATTTGTTTTGCTTTATGGCAGAAAATAAAGAAATAATAAATAAATTATAGAATTTTTATTATATTTATATACCTTAAATGATAAATATCTTTCTGCCTTCATTGAAGTTAGGGTGCCTATAATTTGGTTCATTCCCCTCCCCTTTGACCCTTATGAGGGATTTAATTGACTATGCTGGAGATCAGCAGTACAGTCTAATTTAACCACTTTCTTTTACTTTTTCAATAAAACTTAAAGATGAAAATATATAGCTAAAGCAAGAAAGGAAATTATGAAATAAAATAATGTAAACAAAATTAAGAACCATTTTCAATTAAAAATTGACCTACAATAAATAAAAAAAAAAAAAAACAGCCTATGAATATTGTGCAAACGTCACAATATCTTTTACCAACAACAATTTAAAATTTCTTCTCTACAAAAAAACTGAATATACGCTCTCATGCTATCTTGCAGTTATTCGATAAGCTATTTAAATCCACCATTATACTGTTAATTAATAACAACTGAAGAATAACATACTAAGTAAAGCTGTACATGGACTAGCTATGGATCGGCGAGCTAAGCCGAGTAGGTGAATTCATGCTACGAGCCATTCTACTTTTGAGTTCTTTTCTTGAATCTTCAGCTAATTTTTCCAATTGTTCTTTTAAAGCAAGCAATTCTCGAGTTCTCTGGTACACTGGTTCCTGAAATAGAAATTAATGACAACTAAAACTTGTAATATCATCATTAAGGATGGTTGGATAGTGCCTTTTGGTATAAGCAGAGATCAAGGAGTTAGAAACAGCCCAAGAGGTACGTAGATCGCTCTGAAGTTATACAAGAGACAGGAGGAACCCAGAAGGATGTGATATGGCACAACTTTCTAACTTTTCGAGGGACAAATTTTTAAAGGGTTTTGAATTTTCGAGGAAATTCATATTTTTCATATTTTTGGGGAAAAACATATTGTTTGTGTGGTTTTAATTTGGAAGGAATTTCAAACCATGGTACAAGGGAAAAACAGGGAACAAATCGCATGTTCCATTGAATAAAAACTACTATTTTAAAAATTCTACTTACACTTGAACAGTTTTTGAGAGGAGGCCAACAAAATTTCTTGGAAGATTTCATGAGCCCTTGACCTTGGGGGAGGAGGGAGGAGAGGGGAAAAATGGTTTTATTCTATTGATCCATTGTGGTAGCAGTACGTTATTGATTTTTCATCAATTGTTATAAATACTATTTAAGTAAGTGGGTGGGGTGGCCGAATGGGCTAAAGCGTGTGCACTGCACCGCCGTTGCCCGGCAACCTGATACATAACACTTTGATAAAAAAAATAGTCACGAGTTCGCGTCCCAGTGCACGGAGGAGTTTTTAAATCCCCGCCCACACTCCCTGGCCCGGAAAACTCGCGTATAGCCTTAAAGGCGAGGAAGGAGAGGACAAAAACAAAAAAAACTTTAAGTTATGAAAAAAGATAAATACTTTTTCTCAAAATTTGATACTAGAATGAATTTTCAATTTTTATTCTTTGGTGAAGATAAAAAAGTCCCTAATTTTCTTCATGCATATTTACAAAGATAATTAGTATTTAAAAAAAGTGGTGGGGATGGAGCTATATAATGTGAGTGGTGACTCGGCTACATCATGCTCTGCCAGTGCTTATTTCATACGATTAGGAATCTTTGATTTTTTAGCTCAGAAGAGTATTTTCACCTTTAAAACTTGAACAGCTACCCAATCGAAGAAATGTCTACTAATTACTTTTATACATAACGCTTTAAATTGTCAAATAAAATTTTTATAGCTATTAGCATTTGGTTTAAATGTTCTTAAAAACCTACAAGTAATTATGAAATCCAAAGGGAGTATTTGCTATTTTAAATCTTTCTAAAAATGTAAGTATAATTTCAGTGACTAGTATTTATCCCAATACACAAATTTGTGATTACTACTGTCTCATATTATTAACAAAAAAGCTCATATGGAATATTTAAGTTTATTACTGTGATATAAATATTCGTCAAGAAAATCCTGCAACAAAAGTAATGACTAATTGTAGTATTCTGACTATTTCTCTTAATAAATTGAAGAATTGTGATTGTTGAAATGGCACACATATAAGTAAGGAAATATCATGATTGAGATATTGATTGATTTTAAAAATGATACTCTCTTTAATTAAATCTGGAAAAATTGATGATTATGAAATTTATCAAATATGGCCATACTTAATATAATCAATATAAAACACATTTGATTGAAATTGAATATAAGACAAACCTGTGGCCTCATTGCTGGATTCCATCTACTATAAAGACCCCTCCAAAGCTTTATATGTCTTATACTGGCAACAGGAAGTAACACTTGAGGTTGGTGAGAGTAATACAAAGGATTCTTATAAAGATCAAGTTGACAGTTTGTATACGACCAGAGGGAGACAGTTTTCATTTTTACTTGTTCAGCAAGTCGATCTTTTTCACTATAACAAATAAGCATTAAAAAAATGAGAACCTTATATTAAGATAAAATGATAAAATGAAGAATCTACTGAGTATCTTCCTTTTCAAAGTCCTCACAGCCAAAAAATCTCCCAACATCCTAGAACACTTTACTCTACTTTCTTCTATTCACTATCCAAATAATAGATCTTCAACTATTGATTTATATATCCCCCCCATAAAACTGCATCCTTGAACAAATTATTCTATCATTTATACTACCTCCTTTTTTTGGAATTCTTTACCCATCTCTATAAAGCCCCAAAGTGCTCGGACATCCCATGCTTTACTTATATAGTAGTTACCTTGCCAGACTAATGGACTTTAATTTTGCAAATTGTCATTGCTGTTAGCGGACTTTAGTCCCAAAATAATATTTTTTAAATTTTTATTTAGCTATCACAAAAAAAGTAAGCCGTTTGGAAGTTAAAAATTCAAAACTTAATGCATTTATTTATTTAGATAAAAATTCACCGTTTGTCTTTGTGACTGATGTTGCTAATGTTAGGAGGATTTCAGCCAGTGGCCATTCTTTCATTCAGTGAGTGGCCACATATACACAAATATATATACACATACACACACATTCGCCCCCACACATACATATATATACCATGTCCATATATTTTACAGATTACCATAATAATGTTCAACAATTAAATTCTTTTATCAGGGATGCTCTATACCTTAGTGATATGTTTGTTAACATGTAGATTGCATTCACATCCTCTCCATTTATCATATCGAGGAACTCATTATAAGTTAAAGTATTCTTTATAAAGTAATTTGAGATATTAGAGTCAAAAGTTGGAGAAACTTTGTACAAATGTTATTCAATATTAAAATTTATTTCTGGACTGCTTAAATTTATTTTTAAGAGGTTTTTTTTGTTTATTGATGATTTAAAAAGAAAATAGTTATTTAATTTATATTTTTATACAAACTGTGTTCATAAAATTTATTTTTTGTTTGTAATCCTTCTGATTTATTTTGTTAATTAACCAACAACATATTAACTAAATGGAAAGTTTTTTTAAATATTATGAAATTTTATTTATAAAATTCTTACCAATTAAAGAGAAATGTTCCAAATCGGCATGAATACAGATGGTCAAGAATTGTTAACAGGAAATAATCATTGAATTCAAATGCATTTGGAAACTGCTGCATAACTTGCCATACGCAGTCAATAAATTGTAGGAAGACTGGAGATCGATCTGCGTCGGAATGGTTATCATCACCATGACCAACTCTCTGCACAACAAAGAAACAAAAATAAATATCTGAATCAATTCTGTAGACAGTAAATTCACTACTAAGTTTCTGAATCCATTTAATTTATTTTTATTAAAGAGGAATCTATGAGAACTGAATTTTATACTTCAAGCTGTATAAGGATATATGCCATAAGTCATTGCTTTTTATCTTTTAACATATATCAAATAGAATTTTATGGATATCATCTGCTCACTATCATAATATTTTCTTCTGATATCCAAAATTTTGAAATTTAAATGAGCTACAAAAAATAAGTTAGGCTAGGGTATATATTAATAGTTACATGGGTTCATGTCCTCCTGTTAGCAGTTAGCCTCAATGGCTAACAAACAACTGGAGAACAATAGACCTTATTAGGTATTAAATGTCTATTCTACCCTGATTATTTTTTTTTTGTAGTTCATTAAAATTTCAAAGTTTTGGACATTAGCCCTTATTTGTTCAAGATCCAAGATATATACCTGAATTTAAGAAAATTAGATATTTCACTATGCCTCATGCCATGTCTGGAAACATGGTAACAAACTCTGGTGAATATGATGTAGGAACAAATTACTTACTAACTGAAACTTGTGACCAAAGCTGATCCATTCCTTTTCAATTAGAACTTCAAAACCTTTGATGGTGCGGTAATAAGGATCAAGTAATAGCATTGCAATTGATGTCAGCTAAAAAAAAGTAACAAAAATGTCAATTTCAAAAGTATTCATCATAGACAAGGAATACAGCTTAATAATCAGTAATAAACTTCAGAAGAAATTTACTGTTAATAATTTTACAATGCTTTACAAATTTATATCGAAATTTTACCCAAAAGTATGAAAAGTACATGTTTACTCAAAAGTACACCACAGGATTTCGCCATTTTCTGATGACCGTTTGGTATTTCATAACTTAAATGTTGTGATATAACTGTGCAGTGCTGTGTTACTTGGTTTATATATTATTATTTTTCTTTATTTTAACTAATGCAGTTCTTATTATTTCTAATATGTGTGTATATATATATATTTTTATAGCCATTTACTGATTTAAAAATTTTATTTATTATTAGTTACACTTATAGCACCTTTTCATCATATTCTGTATATTTTTCTTTCTCTCCTCCAGCATGAATAGTTTCCTGACCACTTTCCATATTAAATCTCAATCCCTATTCGTCCACTATGACGAATTCCTGCAATGTTCTAGAGGTACAACCAAATTTAATCCAAGCAGAGTGGAAAGTCAGATATTTATTTTGTGGATCAGTATAAATAAATTTCAATCAGCCCAGACAGGGATTGAAACTACGTCACTAGATTCAAGAATGCTATAACAAGCATACATTTAACATGCTTGGACATCACAGACTCAGAGATAAAAACTATAGACGAAAACCTCAAATCTTTCGAAGGTCAATAAGTGCGATTAAGTTATTTGTTTATTCCCGCCATCGTCCAAACCACATCCCTAAGCTTTTTGAATTGTCAATGATTTTTCCTCATTTTTGACTATGGCTGTTTGGTGTCCCGATTGTACTCAAGGACAGATTGGAGAGAATCATGATCTGCTTATTAAGATTTGATTCAGTATCTCAAGACGTTTTTATGTATCACACCTTAATGGTGAGTTAAGCTGACTTTTCTCCTCCTTTAGCTGACAACACTTCCTTAGATCTTATCTATGCAATACCTAGCAGCCTTCCTACATCTATAGTCACTTCAAGTTCAGACCTTTAGTCCACTCACAGAAAACAAATTCCCATGTTTCTAAACTCTAAACCCCTTCCCACAAAACTAAAACCTTTGAGAACATATATACAAGTTAAAACAAAATTAAAACTTCCAACACAGCTTTTAAATAAAGAACAAAATGATCCAAACCCAATACTGACAGCAAAATTAAATTTATGAAGTATTGTGTATTGTCGACCATCACATTGAAAATTTATAAGCACTCTCAGGGCAGCAAAAATTGGACTTCTACTCATTGTATTTTTTTTTTTTAATACCTAAATATCAAACAAGGAATTAAAATAAATTAATCTTATTAGATAATAAAAAAAATATAATAACCTGAGCAGTTCTGTCCCAACCATCGGAGCAATGAACTAATACAGAAGTTTTATGAATTTCAATCTTATCAACAATCCTGCAAGCTGCCGCAAGAATGCATTTGATATGTTTTAACCAGTATGTCGATTCAAGGCCAGATAACCATTTTGCTTCATCTATGTTTGGAAAACATAATTCTGTAAAAAAAATTCTTTTGAATTATGTTTTAAATAAACAGAAGCAATATTCAGAAATTTTATTTGAGACAGAAAAAAGGGCCATGCCTTTCAATTTTCTTAAAGATTCTCTCATCACATGAATATTGTGTATATCAAGGAATGTGATTTCAGCATTTGGATAAGCTTCTTCGGCTTCATATCCACCACCTTTTGCTTTATTTGCAATAGCATTAGTGCTGAAAAATAAAGAGTTATTATATGTATTACCATGTTATTCCTATAAATTAATTTTTTAAAATCTGTCACACTACAATCCATGAAGGGTCTTGGGTTCAGTACTTTGTAAGGAAGTACTGTTTTAAGGACAAAGGTTTGTAAGGAGGTGATTGGTTCAAGATCATACCATTAAACCACCAGTTTTTTCCTCTTAATTAATTATTTAATTAAGAGTACCCATTTTATAAAATTGCATATGCCAGTTTTTAAATTTATGTTTTTATCAAAATATCTTCCTGGTGACTAATGAGCTGAGTTTAACAGTATGAATAAATGAAATTCATGGATGATAATATATTGAAACAGATTACCTTGGACGAGCGTCACATATAAACATTTTATGGCTTTGGGCATTTGCATCCATGATAAGCTGAATATATTTTTCATCATCTCTACTTCGCTTTCCTGAAACACCAACTAGAGGCTGTGACGATCTGGTAAGGGTTGCCTGAGATTCGGGATGAATCCATGATAAGATAGGTAATCTTCCTCTGGATCTAATTGGTCATAAAAATCTTTTTAAATAAATAATTAATTATCAAAATATAAAACAATTTACAGTAATATCAACAAAATAATAAAAGAATGAATGGAATAATTTTGGAAGAATCTTAATACTAACCTGAAGGCAGCAACAGCTCGTAAATCCTCTTCAGTTGCGGTGACAGGAATTGCCCATATTGCTGGGTAAGAATCACATATTTCATAGGTGTCATTAATTTTTGTTAGACGCCACATGTCATTTGGTACTCCCTAAAAAAAATTATCTTTATTACGGCATAACTTCTTTATTTTAATAAAATTAATTCTAACTAAAATATAAAAATAAAATATGCAACTATATTAAAATTTATTTTAATGCATATTTATATAAGAATCAGGTTCTAAAATATAATTGAGTTGTGAGTTATTCAAGAAAATAAGTTTGTAAGAAAAGAAATACGACTATACACAGATCATAATACAATTCTAGTACTGTATACATAACAGAAGGTGAGATTAACCAACTGGATCAAGAAATAAATTGCTGGCTTACTGTGAGAAATAAGAAATCAGAATGGGGATGAATAAATTTACCTTTTTAGGAAACTTTAATTTTTTTTCTCTTCTTAAAAAATAGTTAATCACATTGAGTCTATTGATCTTATAAGCAGACACTAACTAAATTTATAGAAAATATGCTATCTACAATGATAAAGCAATATCTTTTCTAAAATAAAGTTATTTTTATATTCAGAACAAAAATTAATCATGATGTGGAGATGTTGACTGTGATAACAATTTGAGGAGTTGGTCAGGGAAGTGGTCAAATACAACATGTATCTGGTACTGCTGGAAGCAGTTGGGAGACTGGAGTTTGAATCTCCCAACTGCTTCCAGCAGTACCAGATACAACATATTGCGTTTGATTACACCTCCGACCAACTACTTCTCAAAAAAAAAAAAAAAATTATCATTACTTAAAAAAAAAAAAAATTAAATCATATTTACCATTCGCTTAAATTCAGCTATAACTTCATACACTGTCCAACCATTTTCTGGGAAAGTTTCACTATATTCAAAAGCAAAAAGTGGTAACTTATGGGATAATGGGAATGCATATTGCTGAAGTTTTTCAAACACGTTCCTTCTGGAATGGTTTTCCTATATTAACATTATAAAAAAACAAGTTCAATATTTTTATTAAAGTCTGATTGAAACATATAATATAAAAAAGGGCCATTAATTTTTTCTCTTGATGTTTCTGAAAAAAATTGATAAATAATGATTTTCATTTATTAATGTTTGATTTAATATATTAAGTTCAACGATATAAGATACATAAATAATGATAAACAACCTTTTTAGGTTATTCATATTTTATGTGAGATTTTTAAAAATAATTATTATATTTAATCTGCAGCATATCCTAAATCTTATATTTTGGGTATTTTAGGGGAGTGTAAATTGGTTCATGTTTTCTGTTGGAATTTAATTGCCTAAATCATTTTATTTTAAAAATAACAAATGTATTGTTTGTTATGATATGAACTATGATTTAATAAATTTGGATGATTTAATAAATGAATTAAAACATTTATTTTGAATTGTATTGAAAAATATAAAAGTAGAGCTGCGGATATATAGAAAAGAATATACATGCCTCGAAAAAGAAATGTTAACATTCTAGACATGGAAAATTACAACAGAAAACATGAACCAATTTACAATCCCCTAAAACACCCAAAATATAAGATTTAGGATATGCTACACTAAAGTTTTTGGATGATTTAATAAATGAATTAAAACATTCATTTTGAATTGTATTTAAAAATATAAAATAATCTATATGTGATTATTTTTTTTATATAAACTCTTTTTAGTCAAAATTTGCTTTTGACAGTCGTGAAAAATTAAATTAATGATTTGCTCCATCTGAACTGAGAGGCAAGGTCTACAAAGAGGACAAACTGTAAGCCTGTATGCCTGCAGAAGTGTGCTTACTTTCACTATCATATAATCTTTCTCATAACCTTAATTAATAGTATACCAAACCTTTACTTTTTAATTCAAGCAGGTAATTTTATTGGTCCTCATGTGGTTGAGTAAACCTTATTTCAGAGCTGTCTATTTCAACAAAAAAAGTTCTGAGGGATTCCATTAAATCGATTTGATTTGTAATCAAAGTGAAAAACTTGAGTTTAATTGAATAATTAAATGAACATTATATAAAACTTTATGTAATAGTCTGTGGTAGACCCCTTTTTATCAAATTATTAACAACTGCCTGAAACTTTGTAAATAGCTTAATCTCATCATAACTTATAAATATTTTATTTACAAAAACTCTTTAAATAGGGGCGTTTTCAATCTGAAGATCGTCAAACTTTGTTTATTTAATTAGGTACTAAAAACTCATTTATGCCCAGTTGCTTCCGACTTGCATCGTAAGATAATTTGATCACGAAAACGAGAAAAAAAGTGGCTTACAAAAATCTTGAGCCGTTTAGCCTACAATACCTCATTATTTTGACATTTTGGGAACAGAGATCACGCCAAACAGCTGAACATTTTTGAAGGCCACCTTTTTTTCTCGAGTTTGTGCTCAAATTATCTTACGATTCAAATGGGTATTTATGAGTTTTTAGTATGACTTTATGAGGTCATTTATGACTTAAATAAACAAAGTTTGACAATCTCCAGATTGAAAACGCCCCAATTCCGAGAATTTTCGTAAATAAAATATTTGTATGTTATGATGAGGTGAAGCTATTTACGAAGTTTCAGGCGGATGTTAATTCTTAGATAAAAAGAGGTTATCACCACCACAGACTACAAAGAAATCTGCAAATAACAGATAGTAACTTTACCTGTTTATGGCCAAAACGAAGGTTTCTCATGTCTTTGCAGAATATTTCTATTCCATAAGAATTTTCACCTCTGCTGGATTGTCCTCCAACTTTTTCGACTCTACTTACCTAGATGGTAAAAATAATAATGTTAAAAAAGTATTTTTATTAGTTTCCTGAATAAGTTTAATTTATTTAAGTATACTCACTACACCAAGAGGAACTTCTAGTATATAGGGTGGGTCCCGATCAACACTTCTAAAGTGTAATTTGTAATTAGTCACAGATAGAAAGCCCCTAGTTGGTCCTGAGTATGGACAGAGGTACGTCACATCTCTTGCACCTCCTTGTAAATGTTCTCCAGGCAGAAGTGGAGGGTCTTCTGGCCGAGGCGGAGAACTCGGATCAAAGCCACCAACAGCTCCCTACAATTAAGATATTATTGAAATGTAAATAAAACTAAGGCCATCATAAATTGAGTAGTAATCTGAAAAACCAATGAACAATAATTGACAAAAGCAACAATGCAAAAAATGATTGAAAGATAAAAGAAGTGGCTATTTCAGAATAAACATTTTGATAAGAATTTGAACCTAACACATCAAACTGCTAGTTTGACCAAAATACAATTTTCTTAATCTTTATTTGTTATAGTTGGTTGTTTATTGGTTAAGTGAGATCTCAAACATTTTCAAAAACTAATCTCACCATTATTTAATAATTCCTTAATTGTTTAGAAATAAGTCATCAACCTAATTTATTGAGTTTACAAAGAAATAATTCATTGGAATTGAAATAATTCATTAATTTGTAAAAAAATATGAATATAGTGCTGACTTCCAATGCTCAAGGTCTTAAATTTGAATCCTGGTTTATGGCAGATAAATTATTTATTCTGTTTCATCGGCCGTGGATTCACCCTGGAGTCAGAAGACTCTCCTGTGGGACACTCAGCCTCTATAAAGTGGGTATCCATAATTAAATAATTGATTAAGGAAGACAAATTGGAGGTTGAGCGTGACCTCAATCAAATCACCTCTTTATTCAAACGTTGATCAAGAAACAGTACTTCCATAAAATATACTGAACTCAAGACCCTTCATGGGTTGTAATGGTACAGATAATAGCCTGATTAATATTATGTTGTTTTCTATAACTGCATGTGGAATCAGCATTTGTATTTTAACTCTATTAAATACAATTAAAAAGAGGAAAACTAGTGATCAAACAATAAATATTTATTAATAAAATTAAAAAAAGAAATTAAGATTTAACATTAAACGCTTAAAAAAGTAGTATAAGCAAGACAATAGTTAACTGATAAGTGATTTAAACTAGGAATTGCAAATAGAAAAATCATTACTAATACAAAATATAATATAGCAAATGTTAAATCATTCAGTAAAAAATTATAAATGCAACAATAACGTGAAATATTAATATTTTTAATTTGACTTAGATACTAACAAAGAAAATCATTGCTAAAAAGTAACATTTATTTTAGCATTATTTCTTTATAGTTTTTTTTTCCAAAGATGTTACATCTATGGTTAGTGGTTCGTTGGTTAAGTTACATTTTTCAGTAAAATATGTACTTACCTTCTTCAGCACTGTGATTTTTGAGCCTGCTGAATGGCTCATCATCTGTAATTAAAACCAGATGAATGTTAACTTTATAAATAACAGAGGAATCAAATTCAATTTTCTTTGCTAGCAGGACTGCAGTCCTCTTAGCTAACTTGCATGCAAAATTGACTATTTTTGATTACAGTCTCAAGTTGCGATTGAAGGTTCTTGTTCGATTCCACCTTGGACTGATCCATTGCAATGGGTTTTAATGAAGAAAGAATAATGATTATGCATTTTAAATCAATCATCTTTCAAGTTTATAGTGAATTCTAAAACTGTTGCAATTGAAAACACTATTATCTGCCTGTCAATTATATATGATGAAAGAACTATTACTAAATGTGATATCCTAAGAATTATTCCTATGATTGAAAAGAACTTTCATTACTGATTATATATTAATAATGATAGCAGATGTCACCAAATAGTGCCATAACATTACAACTGAAGTATGAAAGAGGTTATATAATCTCAGTTAAACAAGTTTAAATTTTGGTAAACATTTTTTTTTCTAACAAAAGCAGATTAATTTATAATATTTTGAAACAGTATAATCTAAAAAATTTTGGAGAGCATGTTTTACCAAAGATGAGTTGGAAAATAAATGATTATTCCTTAAAACTTTAAATTATTTCATTTCGTGTGCCAATAAAAAAATAGAATTTCTTAAATCAAGGAATGGAAAAGAAAAGGTCCACATCTATTTTTAGAAATGAACTAATAATGCTTTGATAATTAATATAATTAGGATTTTGAGTAATCTATAGGAGCATGGTTTAATGAAAATAAAAATTAGAGATTTTCTCTAAAGGGTCAAAATTTCCATAAAAGTAGGATTTAGGGGGAAAACATAACAGGCAACAGTAAAGATCTATTGCACTTTATTGACCTTAAAAAAACAAAACATAATATAAGATAATAAAGCTAATATATAAGAAAAAGCTATTGGGAGTAAACACTTGAAAGTCTCTATAATCATGCAAGAGTTGTTTAAAAAATTGTAATAAAATATGCAAAAATTGCACAATAAACAAAAATCACTAAAAAGCACTAAAACAAAGTTGACTCCTCTTACATGTGCTTTTCAACCTACTTATAAAAGAAGTGTTAAGGCAATAAAAAAAATGGAAGTTCCTGAAAGTGTTATACAGAGTGCTGGTACAAATTGGGACAAAATGGTTTCTGAAAATATAATAAAAAATAACTGCTTGATCTATATTATAAGAATGGAGGCAGAATTGTTTTGGCTAAAAGTGATCTTTATATTATCATTTTACTGATTGTGCTAAAAAGAATTCTTGACCATATGACAAAAGAAAAAAGGAAGAATGGTTGATGAAAGAAGTAGTGTTTGGAACAAATAACTGCAGAGAGTTAGCAGATTGTGGGAGAGACATGAGATAAAATATCCAGAACCCTTTCAAGATTATTTCTTTTCTTTTTATTGATGTATAATTTTTTATTATGAGGGAATAAAAAGCTAAATAAGTAATGTGTAGATAATTTTATAGAAGCTAACGTAATAAAATTTTTACTGATCAATAAATTGTTACTTAATTTTTTAAGGATTAAATAATTTTACCATCAAAACTGACATATCATGTGATATAATCTCATAATATAAGCAACTCAGAAACATCATCAACTGACATAAGTAAATATAAAGTAGATAATATTTTATCAATCATTGCCCAGATTGTTATGATAATTTATAAGGAAAATCAACTGTTAGATAATGAAAATATATCCGTAATATATAGAAAATTTTTGTAAGTGAGAAATAGTGTATTGATATAATTTATGAAATTGAAAAATATTAATAAATGAATTTGAAAATCTTTACATAAAAACTGAGAAGAGCTATTGTCTACTTTTTTTTGTTTGTTTTATATTTTATACATCTTTGAAGTTTTAATTTATTTGAAATATTTCCAAACAATGTGATTTAAGCATTAAATAAAAAGTTTATTGATAAATAAAACAAAAAAAATTGTCCAGTAACTCAAATTTGTAATGAAAATACATACAAATAACATATTTAATAAATTACAAAAAATGCAAAACAACATAATATCTCATGATACAAATATATAGTCGACTCTTGATAAATTAAAATCCATGGGACTACAACTAAAATTTGAATTATTAAGACTTGGATTTGTCAAAAAGTTCGATTTATCAAGAAGAAAGAAAAAAAATCGGATTATCAAGAGTTTTTATTATATTTTTGTATATATATAATATAATTTTATATATAAATAGACTCATTTAAAAAATATTACCAGGAAAATTTTGAACGAAGAGGGGAAGTGGCCTAATTCGAATTTTAGAACGTTCTCTCTCCTGTTGTTACGAAAAGGATTTTGAGCTCTTGAATGTATCAAAATACAGCATTTTTTATATTAACTGAAGTTAAATTGTTGAAGAGTCCGAATTGTCAAAAAAGTCGAATTATCTGAGTCGACTGTAGATCAGTTTTAGAGAAATAGGGTTTGTTAATTCCAGTATGATCTACCATCTTGCATTTTAATAACAAGAAATTTTTTTGGAGGACTTAAATCAGAATGCACTACATTAGCGATTGCCTCTAGATCACTTTGCTCGGAAACATTTCATTTCTAGAATAATATTAAATATTGAAGTTATTATACATCAGAATACATTATATTGTATAAGCATGTCGAATATGCAAGCTTGTATAAATTAGTTTTTAAAATAAATTTGTAATTAATTAAAATAAAATTGAACAATAATTTTTACTTAATAAATCAATCTTTACCTTTAGTTTAACAAACTTGATATAATTTATCAATGAAAAAAACACATTAATTTACGTGTTTTAAATAAAATGTAACACATATGATAATAATTTCCATCCTAAGTATTTAATAGATAATTGACAGAAAGTTTTAAAGAATTTTAATAAGACAATTTCTTTAATAATCTAAGATTGTTGAATTGAAATGATTTAAACTAAATAATAAGAAGATAAAAAGATTTTGATGACAGTTGCTCTGAGCAACAAACTTACATAGGTAATATCCACAATACCCACATTTATACATAATAGGTTAAATAAATTGTAACTGATAAAGTACTTAAAATAATGTAATAGTAATAAGTTGTACAAAATAGTGATTTGTGCAATGGTATTGTTGAGCAAAATTATAAAACACTTAAGGCATCAGAACACTCTAGAACTCTTCACAGTAGTCTAATTTACAAAACAACATATTTTGGAAAAATCAAGCAAACTAGCAATATTATCTGTGCTAAGCAATTGTGTCCACAAATAAAATAAAAAGCATATCAACAACAAACTAATTATACATATACAAAACATTTCAGAGTTTGAAACAAATATATAGTTAAATTATAATATCACAAATGCATAATACAACATTCTAATTATTTGCTGAAACAGCACATTATATACCATCAATGAATAAAGTTTATTTATTATAATCATCATATTAAATGGTGTTTCTATTTAAACTAGTTAGTGTTGTTAATCATGAACAAATCATCTAAACTGATCTAAATTTAACAAAATAATGTGAATGTAATACTTAATAAATAACTACTAATCTCTAACACAAGGTTTTGACAAACTTAGATTAGGTTTCTTGTAAAAAAAATTATGTTTGACACGAATGATGAATGATTCACCATTAAATATCAATTTCTATCATGATAGCAATAATTTGTGTTCAGAACTTGATTTTTTATTAATCTTTAGTGAGCTTTGACTTCCTCCTTTCTCATGAAGACTTCCAAGTACAAAAAAAAAAAAAAACTAGAAAAAAGAAAATCTAAATTGTTTATAAACATGAAATAGGGATAGTTGGTTATCAATCTTGACATGTGAATTCGTGAGAATAAATAGGATAACAGTCAATATCGTATGATAGTGTGAAGTTGAAAATAAGAGAGTAATCTCAAATAACGCAACATCCTTGAAAGCATTATTTTTCTTTTATCTATGAAATATTAAATTTGTTAAAAAAAAAATATATAAAACTGACTTAGTGATTAAAATTAATAACTAAACAACCATTTATTTATTTAAATTTAATCTTGTATTTAAAGTATTTATATTTACCGTTATAATAAATTGATCTAATAAACACAACTTTGTATAATAAACATAATATTTAATTAATAAAATTTAAACATTAAAAAATTTAAATAAACATAAAATTTAATCATATATTAGTATACAGATTACATCAGTGCATTTTTTTTCTTTTTTACACTCCGAATTAATGATATTTCCAACTTAATCAGTGGTGCCTTGCTCCTGACTTGGACAGATAAGGGGGATTAGTGTACATATGAGGTTGTGAGAATTACATAAGTGTAATTCAAATATTTATAATTAGGAATAAAAAAAGTTATAAAGCGTATGAGAATATTTCATTTTAGCCAATCAATAAAGCAACTGAATTATAAATATATTGAATGAAATGAAATTTAAATATTACTTAATATAAAACAGTTTGACAAATAAATTAAATTTTTTGGGAGGAGAAAGATGAAGTTACCTAGTCCTGTCATAAATATTGTTAAAAGGAAATATATACAGATATCAATAGAAAATGTTTTCAAAAACTTTATTAGAAAATAAAATGTATATCTATAGTCTATAGAGAGTAAAACAAGAAAGAAACAACATAAAATGTTTCTCTTTTGCGTCGACACAGGCATTTAATCTCCATGGCCAGTCATCAATAGCAGAATGCAGCACTTCTTCAGGAAAGCGCTCAACTGCTCTTACTTGAGATAGTTTGAGGCTTTCCAAGTTAGGGTGTGCTCTGTGGCATGCTATCATCTCCAGTTCTGACCAAAGCCGATATTCAAGTGGGTTGAGATCAGGGCTTCCTGAGGGCCAATCCGAGGCAGAGATGAACTCTAGAATCTTCTTTTGCAGACACTGCTGAGTTGACTTGGCCTTGTGAGCTGGAGCGGAATCCTGCTGGAAAACTCAATTACTTCCAGCAAACAGAGTATCATTTAGGGGCTTGATAACAGGTCCCAAAATATCGTCCTGATAGTTTTTAGTGGCTGTTTTAACTCCCTTTTCACAAAAATGGAGCTTTGTGGTGCCATCAAAGCAAACTCTCCACCAAACCATCACTGAGGAATGTTGATGACCTCTTTCAATTCTTCCAATGACTTCCTGGGTGTCTTAGAGCTGTGTGCGTACATATGATCATTTTGGCGATTAAAGTTTTCTTCAATTGTAAAAATGTTCTTATCGCTAAATAAAATCTTTCGATAAAGACCATAGGAGCACTTTACATCTATCCACTCTAATTTTTTTCAAGGAGGTGGTTAACATTAGTCCTGTAATTCTTCGAAATGCACCCATCCTAAGGTCACTTTTATCATGTGAGACATTGATCTGACAGAGATTCCCATTTCCCGAGACATGTTTTGCTGTTTTCGAATAGGATTTCTTCTGATTCGAGCAGTCACTGCTCTCACTTCATTTGCCATTCTAACAGTGCAAGGACAGCCCGGTCGAGGTCTTTCACATACAGGTAGGGTCTCATTATATCTATTTATAGTGCGGTACAAGAACATATGGCTGATACCCAAAGGTTTTGAAGTGTTGAAAATCTCTGACCTACATTTTCCAACTTTGTGTAAGGCGATTACAGCTATTCGGTTTTCTTTATCACCCCACCCATGTTAACTGAGCGAAAGAAAAATATAAACTAATTGGGATTATTATCCTGACATGTAAAGAAAATAACCTGATAGCGGTAAGGATTATCAAATATTATTCAATGATGTAAACAAAGTTCAACTTTTGTAACAGTATTTATGGTAGAACTAGGTATTGTCCGTGGGCGACAAATTTCTAAAGCCGGCACTGTTTATGTGGACCTGATTTAAAAATTGGGAGAAAAGATGTTTGAATTACTATCACAAAGAAACAAAACATACAATATTAGATAATAGATTAATTAATCAAACATTTGTTTCAACTATTTGCATATTTTCAACTTTTATTAATTTATATTATTTTATTTTATTTTTTTGGAAAAAGAATGCAAATTAAGTGAATTTTTGCTAAACAATAATTGATTCAATATTTTTAACATAGAGTAGTTCATGATTGGATACTCAAATATTTTTTTGTATTTATAGTATACTTACTAATCTTATACCGAAAAAAGATATTACAATCCTTAGTCCTATCAGTCATAGATCATGATCAATTAGAAAGAAGGAAGAAATAAAAACTATCAATGTATTGCATGCTATCAAATCATATAATTATGGATGATTAAATCTATGATGCCTAAAGGATATTCTAAATAAATGAAAATAATACATATATTAATTAGTGCCATAAATAAATAGTGAAGCGAAGCTTGCTAGCGGCATTAAAAAAAAGCGCAGGATCACTAAATTACTAGCTAATCAATTTGTGCAAATTCAGCACTAATGCTTCCAAAACAGATACCCTAAACCAAATACTTGGGAGGGAAACTGAGTCCTGTTCAACTACTTACTTTTAGTTTAACTTTATTCTCTAGAGTAGATACGGCATTAGTAGAGGTACCGGAACTAGATGATGTATAACTCTTTGATAGTGTACTAACCTATAATAAATCACAGTTATATCGTATTTATTTTATTTTAAAGCCAAAAATCAGAAAAGAGCAATAAAATTAACAGCTTCATCGTAAGTAACCTGTTAAAAAAACCAACAAAAAAAAAACACACACAAACAAACTAGAATGCAAATAAGATCAACAAACCAATTTTTTAATTATTTATAATTCAAATATAAAAAATAATGTTGTACTTTGGGTTGATATAAATTAAAAAAACTGTAAGTGACATTTTTCTTCAGTTCATCAGTGTATTCAGAATTGAATACTAAATGCAAACCATAAGAAATGAGGTGTTAGAACAGGATTATGTAACATATTGATAGTAATATTTAAAGAAACAGATACGATAATTTTTTTAAAAACAAAACAATTTGATTCTTAACTTACAGATTCCAGTCCAATTTTTGAGTTCAAGGAGCTAGACTTAGAATCTGAAGGTTGGTGTTCCAGAATAAGGTCCTTATTCAGATCCATGGCAATAGTTTATTAGGAATTCTTGAAGTTAAAATAATATAACATTTAGTAATTTAGTTCACTCATCAGAAATAGGAATGAAATAAGAAAAGTTTCACCTCCTCAAGTAATAAATAAATATATTAAATTGATCTAGACTGTCTAGTACGAATATTAGATCATTTTTTCAGTTCTTCAAATACTAATCAAATATTTCGTCCATGATAGCACATATTAACTAACAATTCAAATCTAAACTTTGATAGGAAACCAAACAGTAACCTCTCGGCAACTCCCTTCCATCGAAGTACGTATCAAGACTATAAACTCAGCGCTGAGTTTAAAAACTTGCCTTACATGCGTTGTAATAATACAATTTCCTAACCTCAGCGCTGGTTAAGGACCTTGCTACTAATGGAGAATAAGTTCATTGATTGAAAAAAATGTTATTGTCACTAAGTAAAATGAAAATTGGACCGGAGTATTTAATAGTTTTATTGTCGCCAAATATTATCGTTGAACACTGGCGCAAAGAGTCTTCTAAGGATCCGCTTCTCGAATCTTAGGATTAGTTCTCGAGCTCAAGAGATTGCCCAACATTCGGATGCATATATCAGAACTGGCCTAACGAAGGTCTTAAAAAGCTGCACTTCGGAAATGTCTAATCGGAAAAACTACTGACCTGAAACGAGGCGTATCTGTTGATAACAAATAATAAGAAAAGATGGGTGTATCAAAGATTAAAGATGTTACCGCTAATCAAATATGTCTTATTATCTTCAACATAAGAATGACAAGATCTCAGAACAGGGCCGGAACTAGGCGTGCCCTCTGCGCTCCCTTCTCCTACATTTTGCCTAGGCCTTATCGTACACAGACGTTTAAAATATCCTTTGCCATTGATATTTGGGTGTTCTACTAATGATGAAAACATTTTCATGATAAAAAATTTCATGTTTGGACTTGTAAGTCATTGAAATGATGGATAGCACAAGCCAAGGGATGAATCATCTGCCTTGTAGTGGATGGTTGACGAGCCTCACTAGCGGATCCAGGATTTATTTTTGGGAGTTTCACCCCGAAAGCTTTTTGTTCATATATATACGTACAACGTATATATATATATATATATATATATATATGTATGTATAAAACGATAATTGCTTTAGAATAAAAAAAAAAAGGTACTAACTATCTACATGAAATGGTGTTTACCTGATCCTTGAAGTCCTATTAAATGTTATTACACGAACAAAATACATAAAGAGATAATTTTGAAATATTTTTTCCATAAAACTTGGTTACATTTTACCATTTTGAGGAGAGAGGGAGGCTTCAGCCCAGGCACCTTTAGCTCACGCCTCAGCTCTGCTGTCTATATACAAAAATTTACTTGGTACGTTTCACCTGGGACACAACTCTATATACTAAATTTCAGCTAATTTGGCCCATCTTTACTTTGAGAATTCCGGCCGTTGACATTCATTAAGTTTATTCTGGAGATCAGTTATTTGAATTTGTCTGCTTCCCTTCTAAGAAATAAAGAAAGTAAATTTTATTCTGGGACATTTAGTCCCCTTAGAATGACTATAATGAAGAAAGAAATGACAATTGTCTGGCCATTGTGAATAATTAAGTGACAATTAAAATAAATTAATTTACAAAGTTGTCTAACCTTAATATTAAAATAAAGAAACATGTAAATTTTTCATAATATTAAAAATAAAGACACTGTAGTAAACATATGAGCTAGAAGTAGACATATGAATTTAAAGGAGAATACATACGGGTGAGTTCACGCACTTGTACAAATAAGCAATATGACACACATATATGCAAGATATCGGTATAGTGTAGCTGACTTCTCTAAAGTACAAAATAACTTTATTTTATATGTATTCGGAAGATTGATTACTGAGGAGATGGAAAAATTAATTGTGCTAAAATGAGGTCAAGGATGAGAATTTCCGTATAGAGGTTGGTAGAGAATTCCAAAAAGAGGTAGCACGTATGACGAAGGATTTTTTAAAGGGAACTATTCTATGAGAAGGAATAACAAATTTGAATTGAATCAAAAACAAATTTGAGGATTGGGATCTCGTGTTGAACGAATGAACAGAGGAACAAAGAGTAAAGAAATGAAAAAGGTAAGCAAATTTTTTGGTTGTAAAGGTCGGAATAGGAATAAATCTAGGAAATATTGCCGTCGGAAAATTGGATGGAGCCATTTCAACTCGGCATAGCAACTGGAGACGTGAGAGCGCTTGGGGACTCCAAGTATAAATCTAATGAAACAATTCATTAGCCTCTTTAATCTGATCTCAAGCCCATCGGCAAGGCACAAGGCAGCCATAATAGAAGTGAGGGAAAATAAGAGAGAAACTAGGAACTGATAGATTTTAAGGGACATAGAGTCTCGGAATCTCAGGAACTGTTTGAGGGTAGCAATGGACTTTCGGATAATTTTGGAAACGTGATTATTCCAGGACAGATGTTGATCAAACACTACCCCAAGATTTCTCACTGAAGTGTGGAAACGTATGGGTATTCCATTGAGGTAGAGTAGAGAATAATAAGAAATAAGGTTGATCAGATGCTTGGATCCAATGAGCATGGCTATGGTCTTCTCAACATTCAATTTTAAATCATTGTTCGCTTGTTGGTGTTTAGCAAAACCGAGGCAGAGCATGTGGAACACCTACGGAGTGTATTCGAGAGAGTGAGGCAATTTGGGTTGAAATTGTCCAACGAGAAGTCGGTGCTAGGGCAAGACCGCATAAATTTTTTAGGTCACACGATCTCGAGTGAGGGAATCAAACCAGACGCGCAAAAGGTAGAGGCAATTAGGAAAATAGCGATACCTCGGGATGTCAAAGGGATCCGCAGGCTGTTGGGTACCCTCAACTATTATAGAAGATTTGTACCCGAAATGGCGGAATACCTCGTGCCCCTTAACAACTTATTAAAGAAAGGCAAAAAGGTAATAGTGACCTCTATAATGGAGGACAACATTCGGAAATGCATGGCGCGACTGCAAGAGGAACCAGTGTTGGCATTTCCGGATTTTTCAAAAGTGTTCACCATTAAAGATGCTAGCGAATACGCGTTGGGGGCTGTGTTGTCCCAAGAAGGGAATGGGGGGGAGCGCCTCGTAGCGTATGCCAGAAGACGGCTTACGGACGCGGAAACCAGATATAGCGCGCTGGAAAGAGAATTGTTGGGGATTGTGTGTGCGATCGACCATTTTAGACCCTACGTATTTGGGAGGAAGTTCCGGGTGCATACAGACCATAGACCCTTACAATGGGCAGGCAAGCTGAAAGAGTCCTCGGATAGAGTCACACGCTGGAAGGAATTCTTGAACCATTCCAACCTGGATATCGTATACAAACCTGGGAAAGAGATCGTGGTGGCAGATTGGTTGTCAAGTGCAATAACTATATACGCTATAGAAGATTACACGGGAGAATCATCCAGGGATGTGAGACAGTTCCTGAGTGAGTGGACGCCAGAGGGAGAGGGAGGTCAGATTGGAGATGATTCCCAAGAAGATGGGAGTCTAGAGGAAGAGAAATCAGCGGATATGGAAGAGCTGGAAGACATTATCAATGACAAAAATCGCCAAATAATCTGGAAGACCAGTACTACCGGCCTAATTAAGGTGCAGTACGGTAAGTATGGAAACAGCAGGATAACAACGATTTGGTCACAGCCAGGAGCGAGAGAGGATCAGATTTGTAGAGCGCTGAGAGAGGCGTCCAAGGCAGGGAAAACACACCACTTGTACGTAGGGAACGAAACGATTTGGAAAAAAATAAAGAAAATATGGCGATCTGAAAAATAGGGCTAGATAGAACCTTCATCCGTTGTAAATTGATGGTGGACACGGTGCGGGACGAGGAACGACAGAAAGAAGTGACTCTTGCTTACCATCAGGACAAAACGAACCACCACGGAGCGCAAGAGACATTCCAGGCGTTACGTCGTAGGTATTTTTGGTGGGGTATGAAGAAAACAATAGAAGAACTCATAGGGGCGTGCGAGATTTGCCTAAGTACGAAATATGATAGACACCCCCCCCCAGAACAATGCAGGAGGAGACACCCACAGTGGATGCACCGCTCTGTCACTTGCAGGTGGATACGTTCACATCGAAAGGGTACAAGTGGGTCACGCTCATAGACCTCTTTAGCAAAGCCGCAATGGCATACCTGGTGCAGGACCGATCAGCAGAGACAGTCTTCGGAGCCCTTCAGACGTGGTTCCAATTTTACGGAGTGCCCGATCGCATAACGTCCGATGGGGGTAGGGAATTCGACAATGCCAAGATCAGAGAGGAAATGAAGAGCTTAGGGGTAAAGTGGCATTTCAACACTCCAGGGCACCCTAAGAGTAGGGGGAGTATAGAGAGACTGCACAGTACTCTCAGTGACCACCTCAGAGTATACCAGGTGGAAAAAGGGCTGGAACCGGACATGGCAATGCGGAAGGCGGTGACAGCATATAACCATTCCATACATACGGTAACGGGGTTCTCTCCATTCGAAATTCTCTTCGGATTACGCGGGCGGCAACGGGACAGTGGAGGCACAGCTGCAGACGAGGAAATGACGGAAAGAATCATTAGCTATAAAATGGAATTGGGCAATCTATGGGAGAAGGTTAAAGGAAAGATAGAGGGAGAAAAGCGCAAAAGAGTGGCGCTGGAAAATTTGAAAGTGAAGGAGATAACAGGGGGATTGAAGATCGGGTCCATTGTTTATCGCAGGATAGGCTCTAATAGGGAGAAGGAATTGCGGAGATATGAGGTGCCATTCAGGGTGATAATCATTAGGGGGCATAATGTTGTGACTATTGAGAGTGTCAAAGAACCAAGAAAAAGAAGAACGGTTCACATAGAACAATTAAAATTCCCAATTTTGAGAGCTAGAGCAACCGTAGAGTTGGAGTGCCCTCATCTCCGGAAAGAAGATTTTTTTTTTATTTTTGGAGATTATCTTTTATTTCTTTTGTTTTGTTTTGTGTGTATATAGTGTTCATACATGGCGTAGTGTATGTATGTGAAGAAACGTGCAGTGAAATATGTAGTTCGTTTGCAGGAGGAAAGTGTATTTTATTTCTGTTATTTATTATTATTATCTATGTATATGAAAATTTTTTTTGTTTGTTTTTCATTCGACTAGATTGTAAATACTGAACACTCCGTTCCTTTGCTACAGTAGGTGCAAGAATCTTGTCGTTTTATAGATATATATGTGTTTT